ACTCAACAATGACAACAAAACCGTCTTTTCTGCTTTCCCAGATTCAGGATTCAGTTGTACTCAAACGCCTACCAATACCTTAGTATTTACAATACCAAAGCACAATGACTGATTCTTGTGAATTTTCTCATTTGAACCAATTTGAAAGATTTAGTTTGAGCCTTACAGATGAATTAATAATTACCGTATAATTGTCCGCAGCCTGTAAACTTCACATAGATTTAGTGTCTTCTACGGTACAGGACAAATGTAAACATGCTACATGTAGTTACTTATTAACTAATGGGTATAATGAAAACTAGAAGTTCTAGATGAGCAGTGAGCCCACAAAATGATTTCCCCGCCTCCCATATGGTTGTAATGGCAAAGTCCATGTTTTGCTCTGAGAGACCCAAAATAAATGTCAGATCAAAAAATAAAATAGGAGGTGCACATTGGCATTATGTAATAAAGAATCTTTGAACATATAATTAAATTTTATTCAATGGTATATATAGGAGGAGTAGTTATGTTTTCATGTAATGTCGCGTCGTGCTTTCCATAGTTTGGTGCCTGCATTTCTCAATGATAAAATGTAGTAAGCCATGTATTAATGCATTAATCATTATACCCCCCGCTTGAAAAGCGGGAGGGTATATAGTAATCGTTAATTCCGTCCGTCCGTCCGTCTGTTACGCTTTGGGGTACCCATCTCTTATCCGCAACTCCTCTCATACCACTGAAGGAAATTTAATGAAACTTTCACAGAATCTTTATTACATATTGCCATTGTGCACCTCCTATTTTACTTTTTGATCTGACATATTTTTTGGATTTTCCAGAGCAAAACATGGACACCATTTTATTCATATGGGAGGCGGGGGGTATCATTTAGTGAGCTCTTTGCTCACAGTACCTCTAGTTTTTTTAAAAATTGCTTGAAAAAGCATGGAATAATATATACCAAGGGAAATTGATTACTAAAGGCAGACTGATACAAGACCAGGACGATACTGTAATTTACACTTTGGTATGGTTTTTTCCAGCAATTTTCTCTCAGAAAATGCCTCCAAAATCAATTGTTGGTCCTGTTGTACACGATAAATTTCATTATCTAATATACGTAAACCTTTCCATGATCAAACCCTATATTTATAAAATCATAGTTGATTTAAAAAACTGTAATAGAAGGGGAAAGTTTTGTTGAGGCAGAAAGCTTGATGCAATCTTCCAGAAGCTCAAATTCAGAATGTCAGTTGAATCCATACTTTATTGGGATGCTTAAAAACTAATTCTACTACTAAATATGACCTAACTGCAGTCCACCCAATATTTGTATATTTGATGCCAAGCTTCAAAACTTATACAGTACTATAAGTATATTTACCTAATAGGGCGGTTTTAAACTTTGACTTTCAGCATAAAAAATTCGCATCCAACGTCCATGTTGGGGTTTTGTTAAAAAACACGCCTTGAACACTGTTGAAAGGTAAAGAGAATAGTAGTAAAATATATGGTTAATTAATAAATGTAATGGTTGAAGCAGGGGAACGCACACTGCCCAGAGTTGGCGACAATATAGCGTTGCCGTAAATTGAAGGTTTTTACGATGATTGGATCGGAAGCGACCGGAAGTAATGACGACGAACGAAAGTCGCGTCCTGGATAGTAATTATCATCTGTAATCTCTGAAAGTTCCACATTGATATCTTTTTACCGTTCTTGAGATTATCCATGGACAAAATGTCATTTCGTGACGGCGGACATAACGTGATGGCGGACAAAACGTGACTCAACAGTAGTTCTCTCAATGTCTAGAACTCATTTAAACATTTTTACAATTTGTATTTTAAGCACTACAAATGTATTCTTAAAAATTTTAATGCCCTGTATTCAATATTTTGCAAAAATCTATGATTATTACATGTAATTTTGTGCAACGTAAAGAAATGATTTTATTTTAAATTGAACGAATCAACATCAATTTTTTAGTTTTTTCAAATAGAAATTTCTGATTTTCCTTAGTTTTAACAATAATTGGATGTGATTTGGTTGAATTTTTATAGGTATATACTCCGAGACAATAAAACCTATGTTTTTTATGGGTGGTTTTGTTAGATTATGACTTATTCAAGATTTTGAAAAATAAACAGTTTGACAGAAAATTCTGAAAGTACGGGCCATAAAACTTAAACGAGCTCACTTTTGATCTCAATCTCACTTTTAGCACAGGAATTACTAGTAGAAAAGAAAGTGAGACTGGGATCAAAATTGAGTTCATCTAGCTTTTATCCCCCCCCCCGCAGGAACTGATTTTGCATCGGCACATTATTCAATATATATAACTTGCGTTACCCTCTTGTATACATTACTGCAAATGTCATAACCATATTATAGTGTATGCTAAAGCTGTATGTACCGGAGAAAAACTTTTAAGATTTCTGCAAAAGAAACAATAAGTATATCATAAACACATCTCTTTCAGACGGATTTCATATGAATTGTACATAGCACTTGACTTTAAAACCTTTAATGATTTATGTGGGTGAGCTTCCATTTATCCGTCAAATATGAAATCTCATCCTATTCCATGCACCACTGTCCAATCAAATTGAATACAAAATCATCCCGATAGGGAAATCTGATTTTTTTCCGAGTTGACGTCCGAAGTCCTTAACAAAAGAGCGATGTTGTGCTTTACATAAACGATTGTATTTTCAATATTTGTAAAAGGGCTCCAGGACATCCTAGCTCAAATCGATACTTCAATTTGTTTAACATATACGAGTAGTCTGTGCAATCTACGTTTGAGTAATACGTGGAACTTTCTTTCTTTCTTTCTCTCTCTCTCTCTCTCTCTCTCTCTCTCTCTCCAGCAGATATAATAACAGATTTATGAAAAATTAAGAGCAATGTTGTTAATTGATATAAAAATTATTCAAATAAATGTTTATAAAGTTGAGAAAAGCTACATGTATCTTTCATAAATGCGAGAGACATAAGTGTATATGGTTTACTAGAGGTGGATGGGGGTAACGTCATATTTTTAATCACTGGCGGATTTAGAGGGGGCAGGGATTATCCCCCCTTGTACCGAAAATATGCATAAGATTTGATAAATCATTTTTTTCTGATCAAAATTTGTCTGTCGTCGTTGTCGTTGGTGTTGGCGTCGTCGTTGTCGTAAACTTTTTACATTTTCATCTTCTTCTCAAGAAACGATGGGCCAATTTCAACCAAACTTGCCACAAAGTATCCTTGGGTAAAGGGGATTCAAGTTTGTTCAAATGAAGGGCCACGCCCTTATTTAAGGGGAGATAATTCAGAAATAGTGAAAATTTGGTGGCATGATTTAAAAATCTTCTTCTCAAGAACCCCTGTGCAAGGAAACTTGAAACTTATCGGGAAGCATCCTCAGGTAGTGTAGATTCAAATTTGTCCAAATCATGACCCCTGGGATAAGGGCGGGGCCACAATGGCGGATAAAAGTTTTACATAGAAATTTATAGGGAAATTCTTGAAAAATCCTCTCAAGAATAGCAAAGCCATGATTAGTCATATTTATATGGAAGCATCCTTAGGTAGCGTAAATTCAAGTTTGTTCAAATCATGACCCCTGGGGGTAGGGCGGAGCCCACAACATGGAGTCCAAGTTTTACATAGAAAATCCTCTTTTCAAGAACGACAAAGCCATGATTAGTCAAGCTAAGCCCCCCCCCCCCCCCCCCCCGGTTCCGACGCCTATGATATGAGTGAAAAATTCTAAAAGGGACGTTAAGTAAAACAAAAAACAGGAACGGTCATCTGTTCATAATAACGGTCAAGAAACATTCCAAGTCTTTTTTCAGTCATTCTATTAAGTAACTTCAGTTTTTCAAATTATGACTTGTAATAATGACATCTTTTTATCAAATAAGACAGTAAATCTATCAAATCGTCATGTTTGTTACACTGTAGGGATTTTGCCCACCTTATTCACCCATCTTCTTTTATTGGCTTAAACTAGGGTGAGGAATCATTTTTCGTCACACAATAATTATGTAACCTTCAGCGTCTTAAAATCATCGCCGTTCCTCATCTTCATATCCTTTTAAGATAATTTAACTATCACTTAACAAGTTTGAAAAATCCTGGCCAAACCAAATTATCGCTTTACTAAACAATTAACAGAGATGTTATCGACACAAAATCTTCCAGATCAAGCCTATTCGCATAGGGCAGTGCACTATTATCAAAAGAAATATCCCATTAAAGATGTTTACAAACAAATACCTTTTTACAAGCGCAAAGTATAGTGTTAATATTAAAAACAAAATGTAACGAATACTATGGGGATAATCAAGGCATGTTTATCAAGGCGATAAAACTTTTATGGAAAATTAAGCAATTTAGTTCTAGTTTGAGGTCCGCGTTCGATGGAATGTTATCGGTCTATAGATTGAGTTTATTTGAAATATTTTGTTTTATGCTGTGTCACCCCTGGTCTCTTTGTCCGAACAAGAGAATTGCATTTTTGGTTTTTAAACCCCCATTTGGCGCCGTCTGATTTTCGGACATCGGTTGATTAAGTGCTTTATGTGTTACAGCTTTACTTATAATCTCGAGGACATACGAAGGGCTGCTATGGTAGTGGAAATATTTTGTGTTTTGTACCTTCGGCAAATACTAGTGTCTGTGAAAAAGCCGGAGTTGGCAGCTTTTAATTGAGTTAATTATCGCCCTTGAAAAGTCGCCTAGTCCTTAAAATGATCGGCCAATATTTATTTACCTCTTAAAAAGAAACTCCAAATATGTACAAATAAAATTCAAGGATATTGGGCAACAATACAAATACCAGATTTCTTAAGCAAACAAATTCACTTATGGTTATTTATTTAAAAATGTTACGGAATCTCACCCAGGGGGCAGAGATTTTATACTTAGTTCATGAGTGTTCATGAGGGATTTAATCCCCACTGCATCAGCGCCTTTTTCAGATCTTTCTTAATTACGGAAGCTTTGTAAGCTACCATTCGTGTCCCGCAAAATCCGAGTGTAGAATATATACCTCTCAATTTCACTGACAATAGAAGTCAATCCGCTAGATTGCATTTTATCCGTAGAAAGCCGCATTTATCCAATTTGTATCACTCTCCGCGATCAATGGACTATTGTCGTGTTTAAATTCGGCCTGTATTAAGGAGAAACATTTTCATTTTATTATTTTGCACATGATGAGGGTAGTGTACGTTTTATGTACACTTGAACAAACTTGACATCATTACAAGAATATACTGTTCTGTGAGAAAACAAATCAGGGATCTATTTTATCGGGAGCGTAATGCGATTTGATCCGCCATATATCGCGGAAAAGGAACGGAGCGACAACTTATTTATATAAAATGTATGTAGAATTATTGATGATGTGTAAATGTGAAAAATTCTATTAAAGAACGCAAAAGCTTTTAGGGAATGAATTTAATAGCAGTAAGATAAAACGACGCCCGGAGCCTGACAAATGTTTCCATTGGGATCTAGCTGGCGTTTTGGACTATGTGAAGTCGATTGAAATCTTTCACTTATAAAAGGACTGTAAAAGTCACTCGCTCTTTTCCCATCTCAGAAACACAGAGACAGTAAAATGATAAAATGACCACCTTTTCTGTGATATTAATTATATTCTGATACTGAAGCATCACGAGTTCAGAAATGGATCTAGCTCGATCACGATTTTTAAGGAAACAGAAAAGCGCTCCATGCTTGTATCGAGATAGGACGGACGGGGCGGATCCAAAGATAAGCAGGCGTAGATCGGAGGAAGGTGGTCTTGACGGGGATTCTGTCAGACGCCTGTATGGGAAGTTGTTTTATCCCCGTGTCAGGACAATATCCGAGTCAGCTCTGGAGGAAGGTGAGAGAGACTCAGAGAGAGAGAGAGAGAGAGAGAGAGAGAGAGAGAGAGAGAGAGAGAGAGAGAGAGAGAGAGAGAGAGAGAGAGATTTTTTCTTTAAATAGTTTATTTTCTTTTAAAATGATATAGTTGAAAATCCGTGTATCTTTTTTGTTTTATCTAGTACTAATATCATTGAATAGATATTGTTACCATTTCGGAATCGTTGATAAAATACATATGTATTTGATATGTATAGCAGTTGTAAATGTCTATCATTTTTAGCTTCTAGATTATTTGTTTAAATACACATCTCTTTAACAGAAAATATTTCGGAAAGATTTAGATTCATTTCAAATAATAAAGACATTTGCAGATTGAGCAAGAGATATTTGTTAATCATAAAGACAGTGAAAAGTTAAGTTAAGTATGTGTGAGATAAATAACTGCCAACTATTCCGTGCACGCGTCCGACAATTGCATACCGAGCCCGATAAATGTTTACACCTGCATTACATCAGGGACACGTGTAACCGCCGATATATATATATAAAGCTACATCAGCTATGTTATCGGAGACATTGATAGGAAATTACAAAATGTGCATATTTATCGCGGAGGTATTTAATTAATTTATCGTACATATTCAGGTAACATTCTTTCTCCCACATTTCTTCAAGTATACAGGAAATTGTTCAGAGAATCCAGCGACTTAAAGATATTATTAATATAGGTTCAATACCAAAAGCGAACTAGTAACCTTTTATTTTCTACAGAATCGAGTTGACTTTTTTATTTTCAATTTCAAGACAAGAGTCTTGCTGAGTGGCTCTTGAAAATTCTTGAATATAAATCTCTCATCAAAATTCTGGCAGTCCTCTTGCTCAACATGACACAGTCTCTGCAACATAAGACAATATATAGGTCCAGATTTAAATTCTGTAGCAAAGAATTTTTTGTGTTGGGCGAAAATGTATGTTCCTAATTAAACAACAGAAAGAATTAAAATGGTTTAATAAATGTTCAACATAAAACATAGTACATGAACATACCTGCGACACCCAGGTGAGCTTCTAGGCAAATGTGCCTCTCCTTTACAAAGCTGCTTGTTTCAAAACTCGCGTCTCTTGGTCTGTTAATATGTGACATACAGTAATTTATTTATGAAAATGCTTCATTTTGTGTAAAAACTGGTTTTGATGAAATTATATTTTATAAAAAAAAAAAAAAAAAAAAAAAAAAAAAAACTTCTAATATTTTCCTTTGTGAGGCGGCATAATTTGATTTGATTTTGGATAAATAATCAGTTCTGACTGCGTTTGGAAAATTTCCTGATTCCCAGAAGAAAGTTGAGATGAAAATACAAAGCGGAGAGATTCATTACCTAAAACACAAGGCAAAATTAACGATATACTCAATAGATCCGTAGCTATTCCAATAAACTAAGCTGATGATCTCTTTAGGATAGACAAAACTGACCCCCGTCCTTCAGTGTAATAGGATTACCTTAAAAGACCTGGGAACCCGGGGTGCTCTGCTGATACTTCAGACATTGTGTTGACGGGATTATGATCAATATTGTCATATTGTAAAACGCTTAACGTGTCAAGTAGTTGCCTTTTTATAAGTGGGAAGGTGCCACAAAAGGCTACAGCAGTAAAAATTGGGGGAAACTTGGGATGACGCGGAATGGCGAGCAGGTGCTAGATTGGGAAAGAGAAAGGTTAATTAACGCTCAGAGATGGCTACAGTTAAAATGGGGAGATCTTAAAAGTAAGTCTAGATTGAATTAACTTAATGTACATGTATTCCCTAAAATATATCACGCTCTTTTTTGTCTGTATAGATGTAACGATAATTATTTTTTTTGTTATTGATAATGGATTTTAGTATTAAGTACTAGTATTTGTATTTCACCCTATGTTCATCTTCGCTAGCCAAGTGTCCCTCTTGGGGAGATGAGGGAAACGAATCGGCCTTTTGGCTATAGCGAAGATGCCCTATGTTGAGTGAAAATACTCGTAGAACAAAATGTATCATTATATTTAAGATGAAAAATTCAATTTTGAAAAAAAAAAACCAAGGTTCCTTAATTTGAAGCTCTTTAGACCATTAGTATGTTCGAACGAATGAGTTAATAAAAAAAATAATAAATAAATATCGTCAAACTTCATTATCTAGAACCCAACGGGCTGAGAAAAAACTTCGAGATATCCAATGATTCTAAATAATGAGGGTGAAATACTTGAAGAATATGTGGCTAGGACCTCCACATCACTCCTACATATCCATGGTCTTCGAGATATCGGATTTCAACTGTAAACATTCCAGTCAGTCATCAATTATCAATTCCTCTTACTTCATAAGCAAAGGAAGCGGCGATTGAACAAAAAAGTATTGGTTTTATTAATAATATATAGATACAACCGAATGATTTCATAGACTTTTTGTAGCCCGAATCTGAATCGATATCTGACTATAATTTCTAACTTCATCAGAAACGGATTTTAATGAATTGATTTGGAGTCATATCGAATGCCAGGTTGCAATTTAATTAATTGAGCTAAATCCTTGGCATGAAAGATAAGTTTTGTCTTGTATATATAACTTAAGCCCAACTTTTTTTCTTTTCTTTTTTTTTTTTTGGGGGGGGGGGTCTTATCAACTTACGACATTACTATCTCATTGGAATCATTTGAATGAAAAGGTTGATTTATTTTTATATCTTTAACATGCAGGATCTAAGAGTTTTTCTTTTGCATTGTGATCACATATCCTATTTGCAAACTATGAAGCCTTATTAATTAAAAGAAATGAATGCTATAAAATTCAAAATTATACAGGCACACTGAAGACGTACAATATAGAGATAATTAGGTTAAGGCGGAACTTGTAAAATCCTTGTCTGGCTTTATCTGTCTGAAACAATACTTCAGAGAGAGAGAAAGATAGTCTGCCAAGACGACCAGAGAGAGAGAGAGAGAGAGAGAGAGAGTATACAAAGTATAGTACGAGCTCATCATTAAATAACATGTAGATTACATTTAATTTTCCTACCCACAGTTCATGTAGCTAAATTCATTTGATCCCATTTTATTTGCATATTTATTTTTTTATTACTGCAGAATCATTTTAGACCAGCTTGAAAACTTAATTATCAATTATTCAACAATTTTAGTCCCTGTTAGGAAGTTCTGAAATACCAGGCAACTAATTTCAAAATTATAGGGTAAACATGTCCAGATTTTTTATCGAACCCTTTATCACTTTTTGCTTTTCATTAAAATTATCTATACACACAGCTTACGTTTAGAAGGAAAAAATCAGACCCATTAACATTTTAATTTTAACCTATTATTCTTAGTGCTTTATTCAAAATAATGAAAATATTGAATAAAAACATACAGGTGGTATATTTTTGTTACTCGTTCAATAGACATAACCCCATGTACAAATTTAACGACATCATGGTTATATTTTAAATAAAAGCTTTTCTTTAACTTCTAATAAAGTTATTAGTGGCTTTGTCGCCATTGTATTGGAAGAAAATATTTGCTTCTGTTCTCATGGTAGATTTAGAAAATTTTTACATTTCAATTCCTAAATGAAATTTCTTCCCATTCTGTCGCCAAAATGAAAACATCAACCGTCTACCCCTACTGACATGGCGCTGTTCTCATACATCAGTGAATCGCTTGCCACAAATCTCTTAATTGTGTATTGTATACCTATAGAATAAATATTTGTCTTGACGATTTCAAGATCGAGTGAATTTATCTTTGTTGTATAATTAAGAAAAAGTTCATCTAGTAAAACAGTTTGGGGGATGATCAGATCATTTAGGGTTTATCTAATCCGATAAATTATAAATTCATATACAGTTTGATACACTAGAAACGAGTTCACTATACTTTGAATAAATAAATCTAAAGGAATACCTCATTAAATTGCGGGGGGAAAGTATGTTATTTTATCATCGAGCTTTAATGACTGTTGAAATGCTGCATTTATGTTCGAACATGCCTAATACTGTTTTATAGACATTGCTTTGAATTTTATAATAATGCTTTTGAGTAAAAAGATTTTACTGGAAGTGCAGCTAGCTTCCTTAAGATAATCGGATTTTAACAATACAGAACAGCTATAGAAATATAAGTTGGGTTTTGTTTATTTTTTTTTTCCTAAAGTTCTCCGAGTTACCTGAATAGTTATACAGTCTGTAAAACTAGTGAACGGATCTTAATGCGTACATTAAAAGGTTTGTTTTCATTTACGATATTCTACTACCAATATTTTTCCCTATTCAATATAAGTTTTAAAATAAACTATCGGGTATACTTGTAAATTCCAAGTGTGTAGACCTTCATGGGAAAAAGGTGTATCGCAGAGAAAGAAAACAACTTAAATTAATTCGCCTGTTAAGAGGTTTTGTGAAGAAATCTTCGAATATTTTTATTTGAAACGACCAGAAATGTTTATATAAAGTTTTTATTACCCCAATGTCTATCTTGTAAATTTTATGTAAAAGGTGGACTGATTTTCATAATGTCATCCAAAATTAATATGCGTCGTAGAAATAGTGAATCCTCAATTTTGGGGAAATTCGGTAGGAAAACGGGACTTGCTCGACGTATTTCCGCTACTTCGGGCAAAATTCGATGGGAACTCTTTCCACATACTGGTAGGCAATCTTTTTCCTGCGCCGAATAAGCAATGTTTAAAGAATACAGATATCAATTGAATGTCAATTTTGTTTTCTTACATATTTACTTAATAAATTATTATGTGGAATTTGATATAATTTTGGTTTATTAGATCAAATATTTTGCTAATACTTAATTATGTTGATAGCCTGTGAACTGCCAAAAACAAACTTTTATGCAAAATAATATTATCCTAATGCTTTGAAAATGTTCAAAATCGTGTATGTATACTCCGGCATACACTGATAGTGTTGTATATACATGAACAGTGATAGTGCCAGGAGGTCAAGGGCTTTGTATACATGTAGCCTGTAAGTTAAACATGACGTCATATATAATGAACCGAAGGTCAAGGTCTTTTGTGGCAACGAATGTAGAGCTGGGTATTGGCTAGGAAGTTCGTAACAATCCTACGATATTTTTGACTTTATTGCAATATGTATGCCAATATTTTCAATGTAAATTAAAATTTGATCCTTTCCTACTTTATTCAATTCCATTTGTATGCAAGATGTACAAACTCTGTAATTATGATGGCTATTCAGGGGAACAAAACGTTGATATAATTATGTTCCGGAAGCTGATTTGAAATCATAGTGTTATATATAAACCTGCAGTTTTAAATACAGATATGCACTGAAATGAAGCACGTTAGACCTTTTGCATTGTTGTTTGGCATGATCGCAAATGCACCTGACACATAAAACGTGATATTCTAATATAGAAATATCGAGTACAAGCATATGGCCGGTATAACGGTACTACAATAACGTAACACAATGCGATAATTTTTTGTCAAAGAATCGCAATTCATGGGAATATTGGTATTATAAGAATACTAAAATTGTCACAAAACAAACAAAAGTGGCAAAACATGTTGAACCATCAATATTTTGATACTTGTAGTCTTTTGATTGCAGATTTTTCAACGGAGACTTTTTTAATGATATACACTTGTGTACTTATGATGTAAAAATGAACTTGAAAACCAATGAAAAGACTTTATTCATGTCATTTGGTAAGGTGATTCAGCTTTTATTTCCTTTTCTTAAATTACTCGTGTACGTGAGGGATCTGTGCATCGTCTCAAGCCATTGTCCGGAGTCCGCATATAGTCCTATGAATGGGAGAGGATCATACATATTGGCCGTGGTTTGCGACGATCAACTCTATGTGACATTTGAAATTTTGAGATAAATTCAATTTATTATCAATAGGCCTATATACCGGTTTTCTATTTTCTGTTTTGTGCATATTGAGGCTATGTTCCGGAAGCTGATTTGAAATCATAGTGTTATATTTTGTGAAACCATATAAACCTGCAGTTTTAAATATTTCAGCTGAAATAATTTTAAAAAGTTCCCAATTTAAATAATAAAGTATCGAAACTGTTTATACATGTATTTTTAAGTACTTGTACGTGAAAGCATGACGCGTTCACACAAGAAAGCACCTATTATAAAAATATAGAGCATTAAAATGGTTCAAGGGGCTGTCGATGTTCTGCATTTAGAGGAATGACAAATATGTATCTTTTCTTTTGAAGAAAAAGACGAACAGAAGAGTCACGTGGAGAGTGAAGCAGACGTTAATAATGAACAGACGACAGAGCAGGACAAACCCCCGCCAGTTCCACCTCGGAAGTCAAAGGTCAGAAAATCGTCCCGGAATTTCCTTGGCAACAGTTGGCCCCATGATGCTCAAAGAAATCTGAAAGGACATCTGGAAAACAATGAAGGTGTTTCTAACACCGGCGTGGGACAGACCCCTACCGAATGGAGGTCTCCACAATTTAGTCGTTTTTCTAACCCAGAAGGTCATTTGTTTAGTGATGTCAAAGACATCCTTAGTGATGACATTAACCAAGGTCATCCTCAACCTACCATTAATAACAGCTCACGTGTTAAACCACGCCTTATGACCTCAAGGTCATCGAGTTCACTCTACAGTCAAAAGGACGATGAAAAGTACCATGACTTTCGACGACGATTGTCGATCAAAAGTAATGTTTCAAACCGTGAGAACTTCTATCCAGGAAATATTTCAACAAATCTGGACCAAAATTGGAATTTGTCTCAAAGTGCTTCCCCAGATCTACGACGCTCTCCTAACTCCTGGCCTCGACTTCAGATGACAGAAGCGGAGAAGGAAGAAACAGATCAAGTTGAAGACCGCGTTAATTATTCATATGCAGGAAAAAATGACATAAGTGTTGCGAGGTCTAAAAGTTTGAATGACACTGCGGCACGAGAACAAATCCAGTTACATGGTAACAGACCGCATTCATTTAACGGACTCTTTGATAAGGAATTCTTGACGGAAGCAAACCCTATTGATTCTGATCAAGGGCGGATGGATACATCTTCAGGAACGAGGACACTGAGATCTCAAAGAAAATTCTACAAAGACTCCAACAGGTAGGTAATTATTTTAAATACCTGTAAGACATGTAGCATTCCTTGAAAATAATACGTCTGAAGTTCCATTTATCACTTATTAACTTATACAGCTTATTATGTAAGAATCATTTTTTTATGATCTCTGAAATCTATTCTAAATAATTATTCTTCCTACGTTAAACGTAATTTTGCCAAGTTTATGATTTAAAAAGTATAAGGAAAATCTTAGTTCTAGCCAATTTGAAATGAGAACAGCATAAATGTATAGAGGCGTGTGTCTTATAATATCTTGTGTATGTGTGGAAGGTTTAATTTCTTGTCACTGTATGTATATCTTGCATAGTTTTGTATCTACTTGCACTTCAATATCAAACAAGTCAATGTCTAAACTATATCTCATACAAGCTAATTCAAGGAATTAAGTCCCCTCGTATGGAAAGAAGTTTGAGATATATATTACATAGACTCTCATAGAGCTAATTGCATGGCTAGAAACTACATATAATTCCCTTGAAACCTGACCCTTACATCTCAGAATCATAGTTGTGTTAAGATCTATAGACGTATTGGTATTAGAAAACCATAAATTTGCGACCATAACCAAAGTCAAATTTCAAATCACATTCACTTCGAATATAGAGATTCATTGTAAAGGCTTAGGGACTTTAAAGAATTGTCATCTGGAAAGAAAGGCGTTATAAAGCCCAACAAAATGACGGACAGACAGACAGACAGACCCAAATTCGAGATTTCCCACCTTGAACGGAAGTTGGAGACAACGAGGACACTTCCTTGCCGTTGTTGTCGAGATATGGTAGATTACAGTGTATACCTTTGTTCTTGAAAATTGTTGATAATGACAACAAACTATTAATCCCATAACTTAAAAAAATATTGAGAAGATGATTGTGTACAATGTATAGATATTATCAGTATATAAGTTACCAGGGAAACGGTGCACTTGATTTGAGAATCGAATGTCAAGGTCAAAAGCTGTTCCTTTCACCTTGATAGCTGTTCCTTTCACTGCCTTTAACCTTGACCTTAGATTTAATTTTCCTCTTCTGGACATCACTCAGTCGCAGAAAAACGACTTCAAATCAAGTTGTATCGGGTACTTCCTGTATTGTTAAGAGTCTCCGGATACTCATCCGCACCAACATAAAATAGACACTGATCAGTCAGTATGTAATAGTCCTATGTAACATTGCTCTAAAAGAATGTAATATACAGAGGATAATTATTACAAAAATTATATAATTATGTAATTGAAGTATATTAAAAAACATTGTACTAATATGCTGTCCGGAAGAGTTCCTATTACTTGGCAGCATTGTTGATGAAACAACAGGTGGTTGGTGCTTAATATACACATTGATATTGCGGCGTGTGTCATCAGTTTTACCTGTAATTTATAAGGTTACTTGAAGGGATTGGCTTTTCTTTAAAGATGTCGATTTTTACGTCACATTTCTAATAAACTTGAGACCAATATTGGTTCAATGTTTTTTTCATTTGATATGAGGCAATTTTTAGTCTTTTTTGTCATTTATAAATGTCAGGTTTAACAGATTACTAGAGAAAAAAAACTTTAGCAGTGTTCAGTGAAATATGCCATTCTGTGGTTCTTTGTCTTGGACTCGGATATTGCTTTTGTTATGATGGAAGATTCCTAGACCACTTAAAAAAAAAAAAAAATCTGATTAAGAAATGGATTTGCGGAGGTGAAGGAATTTTTTGTGAAATATCTGACATCCTGTTTTGTGTAAAAAGACAAATATTTGATATTCTTATATTTTCAGTGGTGTTGAAATCTCGCGCGAAGTTAATTTGCCGACAGATAGCGAACTACACGCGGTGTATGCTGGGATACCTGGACTAGAGACCGGATCTGTAACCGTGCTGTCGTCCCCTCGTATCTCTCCGGACATATTTCACGACATTCCCGGACTCACAGTGACGTCAGAATCGGAAGATACCTCAGGTAGAAAATCTGTTCATTGAAAAAAATTGAAGTTTAAGATATTAATAGAAAGCATTGAATTTATTTCAGTATGTATGGACGCTGCAAATCTGACAGCATATAAGACTATTAAATAGTTTTAATGGGCATTTACATGTACATTTTTATTTTAAATTATTTTCTTAAAAAGATATGAAATCATTCTTAAATGTTGTGAGTGGTATGGAACAGTCCAGTATTAAAGTTTGCTTGGGAACTTCTTCTACCTAAACAGGAAAAAAAAAACCCCTCGGAAATCGAACGTGTTCGATTGTGTTGAACCTTGTATTTTCTCAAACTAGATTTTTTCCTTAATATTGAAGGAAATATTAGAACTACCATGATCATGAAAATTAATTCCAACTGAAATAAAAAGGAAAGCAATATCACACAAAAGTATTGTCAGTCAATGTTCATCTATGAATGAAGCCAATCGAACACATCGGTAATAACAGAATCTACGTGATTGTAAGGTTATGAAGAATGTCACGTTATTATTATATTGAATACGAAGATTTGTAAATTATTATTATGAATATTTTTTTAATAAATAGAAAAATTTTAAACTGTAAACATATAGCAAAATTGTCAATTGTCCGAATGGTACAGTAGTTTGAGTGTGGCTAGCGAGTCGGAATAAAAGTATTCATCCTTACAACGGTTCGGCTCCCACTGCAGGATTTGAGACCTGTCGTGCAGACACCTTATAAACCGTGGTCCTGTGTCGAAGCAGGTGCTTGCACAAAAATCCCTCAATGTCGAGGGCCATAAGTTCTGAGTACAAGTCTAAATTTGCAGATGTCCACCGGCAAGAATGGCGTCTTAACACGAGTGGAAATTTATCGAAGGGATGTTAAACAACCAAACAAAAAATATTTCAAACGTTCACAATCCTGATTGTATTGTCTATACAGTACAACATCGAGCAATATACCCCGTCCATACCAAAAAGTTTGCTAATACAGTAAAACGCGCTAATAGAGAAGTCCGAAGGAACGGAAGATTTTGGTTTCGTTATATCCGTTTTGATTGATTAATTGTACGTTGTTTACCGTCCCTCTCCAGAATTTTTCACTCATATGGAGACGATATACCACTTGCTGGTGGAGAGCTGCAAATTTTGTCATATGCTCGGCACTTAGGGCCATTGACCAGGGGGGATCTTTTTTGTGCCAGCACCTACTGTGACACGGGACCTCGGTTTATACGTCCCTACGAAGGACCGGTCTCCAAGTCCCACAGTGGGATTCGAACCCACGACGTAAGGATTGGCTCCTTAATTCACGAAGGAAATTTGTATACGTGGTTATTAGAACTACCAGGATCATGAAAATTAATTACAACTGAACTAAAAAGGAAAGCAATATTACACAAAAGTAATGTCAGTCAATATGTTCAGCTATGAATGAAGCCAATCGAACACACCAGTAATAACAGAACCTATTCAACCTACGTGATTGTAAGGTTATGAAGAATGCCAAGTTGTTATTACATTGAATACGAAGATTTTAAAATTATTATTATGAAGTTTTTTTGTAATAAAAAGAAAAATTTTAAACTGTAAATAGCAAAATTACCAATTGTCCGTGCATGGCGCAGTAGTTTGAGTGTGGCTAGCGAATCTGAATAAAGGAGTTCATCCTTACAACGGTTCGGCTCCCACTGCAGGATTTGAGACCTGTCGCGCAGACACCTTATAAACCGTGGTCCTGTGTCGAAGTAGGTTCTTGCACAAAAATCCAAAGAAATGTTTCAAACGTTCACAGTCTTGATGGCATTGTCTATACAGTACATCAACTTTGCTAACACAGTAAAACGCGCTAATTGAGAAGTCCGAAGGAACGGGGGATTTTGGTTTCGTTATATCCGTTTTGATTGATTGATTGTACGTTGTTTAATGTCCCTCTCGAGAATTTTTCACTCATATGGAGACGATATACCACTTGCTGGTGGAGAGCTGCAAATTTTGTCCTATGCTCGGCACTCAGGGCCATTGAGCAGGGAAGGATCTTGTTCGTGCCAGCACCTACTGAGACACGGGACCTCGGTTTATACGGTCCTTACGAAGGTCCGGTCTCCAAGTCCCACAGTGGGATTCGAACCCGCGACGTAGGGATTGACTCCTTACTTTGCAACTCAAGAGCAGACGCTCTAACTACTGTGCCACGCAGGAGACTAAATCCGTTTTGCGTATAACATATTTGAAAGTCAGTGGAAATGACAACTTCGCTTAAAGTATAAATTCATTATTAAGCGTGTTTTTATGTAATCTTAAAAAATTAGTGTTCGAAGAAACTCAGTTAGACTTTAAGATAATAAATTATTCCTGTTGTGTTAAGCAGGTGAATCCAATACTAGTGAATCTCTGATACACCTACAGAAAGGACAACAATTTCTAGCGGTCCCCAGGAAGGTTTGTATTTTGTATACTGAGTATTCTATTGAAAAATCCGAAATGCAATTTGTGAAGTCATGGAAGTCGCAAAGAAGTTTGAATCAAATGAAAAGAAAAAAAGGAAATATATTATCATAATAATCAATGTCAATTAAATTCGTAATACATGTACATAGAGGTTTGGATTATAACTTTATAAACATTTAGATATAGAACCTCTATATTACTTTTTTATATACGATAATTAACAGCTTTCTGATTTTCTGTAACCAAAGTGCTCAGATGTGCGTTAGTAACTGACACATATAACAAATATGATGTTTTGTGATGAGAATTCATAATTGTGATGCAATTACATGCAGTTAAAATATTTATCATGTGTAGCTTTACGGGAGATGATGGATATCTTTTTAACCTTACAGACAATGATAAACGATTTTTAGAGTGAACATGTTTTATTTTATTAATAATATACGGCGCGTGCAAACGTGATATTTGATATCGATCAAATTTAAATCTATAAGTTTTGAAACGTTATTATAAATTGAATAATAAAAATAATGCATAACCCATGCGATGTGATTTTTCCTGTAAGCTCTGGACTACTGAAATATTTTCCTCCTTATAGGTTTTAATGATGATACTATATAAATAATGGATTAAAATTCAAAGTGCTTTAGACTATATTCGATGCTTGAGATTGAAAAAAAGAATATAGAGATTGTAATAAATGTAACGAAATAAGCGTTTTTGTCGGCGTTTGATTGAATTTTAATTACTATTGAATAACCATGAGAATGTGAATTCATTCATACATGTACATGTATAGGTTCATCGAGGACGGAGACGCCGCCTATCGGCCAGCGTTAGTTGTTCCGAGGAGAGTGATAATGAACCCTCCCCTCCACTGTCCCGCAGAGGTCGAAGGTCAGCTATCGTGGATACCAAGGTAAAACTCTTATGATATTTCGCAGAAACGTGTACAATATAAGAAAACAGTAAATTTTAAAGAGAAGTAAGGCATCTATTTCGGGCCAGTTTAAATTATTAACGCCTCTAGTTCTTTTCACAGAATGTCGGCGATGTGTCCCCTACAAACCTCTCACCCGAGGGTTCCCCGGGGAATTCCTGTGATGAGAGTGAAAATCGTGGGTAGGTTAAAGTTAATCATTATGATAAATTTAATGATCTTGTAAAATGATAAAATTTTAATTTTCATGAGTAATTCACTACATTTTACTTTGAACTATAACTTTCGATCGGAATGTGCAATTAAATACAACAATACACGTACAGTATTTATTCAATGTATGTTGTTTAAAAAAAATGCTTTACAAGACATGTATTTACAACATGGATATTTATTATTGAACCATATGCAAATCAAATATAGATTTGTATTATGTCATTATGATAAATATATCTTGACAATATAAAAATACCATAAAAATATAAAAATATATATAAAATATATATAGCATACTATAATAATATTCTAATAGTAATAAATATTTTTATGGAAAGTAATTAACGCTTCTTGAAGGAATGACGATAGTATTGGAATGCCATGATTTATGACCAATAGAAAAAAAGTTAACATATATTTATTGGCACCCTTAATTGTGATAATTTTGTGACAGAGCAATTGTAGAGAGTAAGTTATTTTTGCTATAAATTGTTGCCGTTTTACTGTTTTCTTGGTGTTTTTAGCATGAACAGAGTTCAGCGACATCGCTCCTCGCTGGAGACCACCATGTACACACATCCTAGCGAGCTGTTGGGTGGTGATCAGCACAGGAAGTTGTTGAAAAGGAACACAATCGCCGAGTTCTCTCTGTCTCGTGGTCCTTCTGCGTCAGCCAATCAAAATGATGGTAAGATTGGAATTACTACAAGTATGACTGACAATACAGTTCTATAAGGTTGGTAGGAATTCCAAAATACATATTAACTGAGTTTGATGGTTTTGGACAGCTAGATACCTCTTATATTTCTTTCAGATTCTAAAAAAGGACGACAGTCTACATTTTCCCTGCTCAAACTTGTGAGTATAGTGTCTGTTTAATATATCAAACATGTATTAATAGTTCAAAAATAAGATGGTTATAATGAACAAAATGTGTGAAATCATTTCTTAAAACCCTTTAGCTGTAATACTTTTAAGAATTACACGTTTTCTCTCTGTAGATGCGCTCTCGTAGCAAAGAGTCCATGGCGAAGCTTGAAGATGTTCTGGCAAATATGAAACCCAGTGAATTTAAGGACAACCATTTACTGGCTTACAAAGTACGATAACTCGAAACAAGCAGTACGTCAGTCCAAATAGTAATGGTCTAACATATCAGAGAACTTCCTGTCAATTATAAGACATTTTTTTTTCCTGATTAAAAATGTATAATTATGCTTCAATAGATTAAATACGCTTCTGGGTATATTTTTTCCCTTACAAAGAAAACAATCAAAGGTATTAGATGTAAGCAAATTTTACGTTATTTCAATGTGTAGAGAATTTATAAGGGAAATGGCAATTAATAGATACCTTAGAATAAAATAACTTTTACTTAATTCCGATAAATTAACATAAGCAAATTCATAAGAAGCGTTAACTATAAGAACATGGTTTTACCAGCTAGGCATATAAAAGTATATAGTTTACTTATTTGAATTGTCTGTATGGAACAATCCTTTATTTCAGTAGAATTAACACTTCGTATACATCTGTAATTGAAAAATGCCACTGAATTGCTTAATTTAATTATCACATTTATTAGAATTTACATTGGTCTGAGCTGATAGCGAGCACGGACAAACACAATGATAAAGCCAGTGATCAACTACAGCTCACAGAAAAGGAGCGGAAGCGGCGCGAGGCAGTCTGGGAATTATTCCAAAGCGAGTGTGTGTTCCTTGTAAATCATCTGATGGTCCTCAAGCATGTATGTTTATCAAAGGCTTGGTAGTCAATAAAATACTTTTATTTTTTATGACTCTTGGCAATAGATCAATGTTAAAATTTTGAAATATGATTTTTTGATATTTACTATAATTATTATAAATAAGTAAATACAATCCCTCTGAAATAAGGACATTCATACATATAATTTTTTTTGCAACAGCTGCGACGTTAATTCCCGTACTAACAACCAAAGAAATCATTTAATTTTGTAAATATGCCGTTATCACAGTTATTGTTTCCGGGTTGATTTGATATTCAAGAACAAATAAGTACTTGAAACAAGGATATGAACAATCTCCTTTAGAGTCAACATTTTGCACATCTTATGGTCGATTAGCTGCAGAACTGTAGAATAATGGTTTCATATTTTAGTCTTTGACCATAACGCTATAGATCCTGTAAAAAATATGCAATTTACGGCGCAAGCGTTTCTGCACATGGTTGTTGAGAATTAGTGCTCCACTTTCCAGCATTGATCAATTAATTACCTTCACTATACAATTCTAGACAGATTATTTCACCATTCTGATAATTTTATTCGCATCCCAACCCTTCTTACTTGTCAAGTTCAAGTTCATGTTCAAGTTCATTTATTCTCTCAAAACTATTTAAAATACATGGTACATGAGGACAATGAAAAATATTTACAGCATAAATATATTCAGGTCAGAGGTATAAGTTAATGATATACATAATCAGAAAATGACAATGTGGGAAAAAGATAAAAGAGAAAAAACACGTATGATACGTGTACAAAATGAAATAAATAAGGAGAAAAAAAAATTATGGAGGACAGACTAAATCATATATTTTTAATATAAACATACAAAGTTTTTTAAGTGACATAGCATCTTGTTTTGTCATCAGTTGGAAAAATTTCAAAATATTTGGTCTAGTAAAGTAATATTCATTAATATACTTTTTCCTAATATTTGACAGTGCATTACATTCAAGTATAAAATGGAATTCATCGGCAACATGTTTAGCATTACAAAGTGTACATAATCTATCATTTAATGGTATACATGCCCATCTTCCCAGCTCAACTTGTAGACGGTGATTAGTAGTTCGGAATTTGACAAGTATTTTTTTAAATTTTAATGGTAAAATATTTAAATAATTTTCACACTCAAAATTTGTTTTAAAAGTTTTATACAAAGTGCCTTTAGAAGAACTATTAATATCAGAATGCCATTTTTGTGTAAATTGATCTTGTAATCTTTGTTTAACAACAGAAGTAACCCAGTCTTGATTAGGATTACAATGAAATTGTTCATTCCAAATATGAGATAGACCACATGAGTCAAAAATACGATGAAGAGATTGTGAGTTAGCAATTAAATATTGATATAATATACATGAAATTTTCTTATCTGTGCTATTCACTAACTTACACCAGAATGAGACTATTCTTGAATAAATAAGAACAGATAGTGGGAAACGCCCTGTTTCACCATAAACCATATAATTCGGGGTACTACTTTTCAAGTACAGAATATGTTTCAAAAATTTTAAATGAACACATTCAATGATATCTAGGTTTTCAAAACCCCAGATTTCACAGCCATAAAGTAACACTGGTAAAACCATTTTATCGAACAAATCAAGTTGACATTCCACAGGGAGGTTAAATTGTCTTATTTTTCTGATAACACCATACATTGCCTTTTGGGCTTGCTCACAGAGATGTTTCTTGGCTTTTAAAAAAGAGCCAGATCTTGAGAAAATGATACCAAGATATTTAAATTCTTTGACAGTTTCGAGACTCTTGTTATTATAGTAAAAAACTCTTTTGTTTAAGCGACCTTTTGAAAAAATTAATATTTTAGTTTTCTCAATATTTACTTGTAATTTCCACTCTGAGCAGTAGCTTTCAAATTCATTCAAAGCATTTTGTAAATCATCTGGAGTTTCTGCTAAAATAACAGTATCATCGGCATATAAAAGTATAAGAAGTTTCAAATACACACATAAATCATTTTCTATTGAAGTAGTAAGACTTTGTAAACCAATTATATTTCTATCAACAAGATAATTCTCTAGGTCATTAATGTACAATGAAAATAAAAAAGGAGATAAGTTTTCACCCTGTCGGACTCCGACATTACAAAAGAAAAAATCGCTTGTTGTATCGTTCATCTTTATAAGTGATTTAATTCCCTGATACATATTTGTAATATACGTAAAGCATTTGCCTTTAATTGTTTACTCCAGAGACCGTTTCTCCAAACAGTGTCAAACGCTTGCTTGAAATCTATAAAAGCACAAAAAAGTTTTTTCTTACACTTCATAAGCGTGTTTGATAAAAAATGTAAAGTCAGGATATGGTCTAAAGTAGAATATATTTTCCGAAAACCTGCTTGATTCTCTCTCTCTACAGACCAATAAAATCACTAAGTTGCTTTGATCTTTGTCAGATGGCAAAAGTTTAAAACAAGCAAGTTTTTTGGTCTTTAAAGACGACTTTAAAGGGTCATGAGGTATAAATAAAATGCTCACATTGGTTTAAAAATGTCTCTAGAAAGTAAATTGATTGACCAATTCTGGAAAGTAGAGAAACCGTGCACAGAAAAGCTTGCACCGTAAAATGCACTTTATTTTCATTACAGATTATAATCGTTATGGTCAAAGACTAAAAAAATAAAACTATAACGCTATATTTCTGCAGCTAATGGTCGATATAATGACCTTGTCAGCAAATAAAATCTGCCATTAAATCTCTCACTGACGTTTTTCATACAAATAGTAAGGCCATCCTTTTCACACTGAATTATCCACGACAGGGAATGCTTACTCCTACTTGGCACCAGATACAATATATCACCTCTGATGTTTAAGTTATTAACTATATTAAACCACGCGACTTTAAGGTTAGCGAAAAATACGTTTAATACTAGTAAAATGTATCATACATGTAAAAAAAATTGTTTTTGTAGTGTTTTATGGAACCACTAAAGAAGTGCCAAGTTGAAGGTCATCTGATGTATGCCGAGCCCGAAGATTTGTTCGGTAATCTTGACGAATTATGTTACGTAAGTGGAATAAAATAAAGAATTTCGTCAAGGAATATACATTTTTTATATGGTGTTATCAATCTATTATACTTAAAAAATACGTGTTCCTTTGTTTTGCAGGTTAGTTACACATTTTGTAAAGACTTTATTGCTACATTGGTCAAAGCCATGAGCTCAACAGAATTTGGTAGTACTACGGTCCTTCTAAAGGCGTTTGACAGGGTGATTTGATTACTACATTGTTTTTTATCAATGAAAATCTGCAATATAAATGCAGGAATTAGTTAATTTTTAAATAAACATCTCTAAATCCAGTCAATTAGATGCACCTATTTTCATCACTGTTATTTTCTATGCTTTTCGTTTTTATAGATTGTAAACGTTTTGAAAAACATGTATATGATAAAAGATTTTATGTGAAGCTTACCGAGTATTTATGATCAGATCAACATGTGGCTGCATAACTGACAAATACAAATATTACTAATGTTTAATTCTGCAAACAAATACTATGCCCTTACTGACTGCATTTATTTGATGTACATAACATCATTGATAATTGGGCATTGCCATATGAGTGAAAATTTCTCGAGGGGGACGTTAAACAAAATACAAACAAACCAAAAAAAAAAAAAACAAAACAAAAATTGATAATTGCATCCTAGATGTATACTTCGAAATTAAAAAATGTTTAGAAGTCTAGGTCAGTTCAGATCTTTGGTCTCGACACAATCGCCATGTCAATATAGCTTACATCTAGATGGATTGATTGATTATATGTTGTTTAACGTCCATCTCGAGATTTTTAACATATATGGAGAGGTCACCGCTTGCCAGTGCAGAGCTGCAAATTTTGACCTATACACTCGGCACTCAGGGCCATTGAACAGTGAGGTTCTTCCTTGTGCCAACACATATTGCAACACAGAGTCTCGGTTTAATACGGTCTCTTCCGAAGGGCCGGTCTCCACGTCCCATAATGGGATTCGAACCCGCGACGTAATATCAACTTCTTACTCCACTGACGCTCTAAACACTGCGCCACACAGGTGACGCTTACATTTAGATGTTTATTAAAGTGAATATGGGTATTATAAAACACTGACACTAACAATAAAGTGATTTTCATTTCCCGTGACTCCAAAATATATTGTGATCTAACAGATATAAAAAATGCTTTTATAACAAGCAAAATGGTCCGCCTCTTACACCCCGTTATTCGTTTGTTTTACGGTATCTGGTTTGTTTTACGGTATCTGGTTTACAAAGACTATTGTATCTACTGATCTAAATTCTTTTCGTGAATTTGAAGACCTTAAGAAAACAGAAACCGATAAGATTTTATTTTATTTTTGCCAGTTCTCTTCACATTCCAAAGATGGAGATGTTTACCACACATACTGCTTGAATTATACCAATGCTTTAACGTACTTAGAACGGTTACGCAGAAACGATGACTTTCACGAATTTGAAAAGGTAGGTCGTTACGGTATTTATTGCAAAGAGTAATTTATATCTTTTTCAAAAATTTTCAAACTTATCATTTCGTGATTACCGACAGAAATGTTTATTCCGGTTGGATCTTGGCTGAAAGTATTTGTTATAATGTCCTAAGCCAAAATAAAATTCAAAGTACTTGCATGCCTCTGGAAAAGTTCTAAAGCTCATTGTTTCAAATATAAAATGTGATGGACAGCCAGAAGGCTTTACGTACAAGCAGAGAGGGTGCATGCAGGGGAGGAACAGTCTTGTATAGAAATACACTGGTCATCCTTGTTTAAATTTTTCAAAATCGGCGAAGTATAAATTTCAGACTATATCCGTACTTATAAATTTGTATTTTCAATAAAACAGCCTGTTTGATGTCGCTTAGTATAAAGTTCTTACAATTAACATCTTGTATGACCAAATTTGTTTCAATAATATCTTGTACAAGCATATAGGTATATAAGTGTTTCACATTGCATAGTTTGCTTTTAAAAGGCATGTTGTCAAGATCCCCGATGCCAGCGATTAAAGCTTACAGACCTTCTGGTGGCCCCATTACAGCATTGTACCAAACTACCTCTGTTGCTGAACAACATCCGGAAGTACACAGAAGTTGAGGATGAAGTTGACAAATTAACGGAGTCAATATCAAGAGTGGAAATGTCTCTTCGTAAGAAAATTTCAATTTACAGAAATCAGTCTTCTATATTAATCACGCTCTCATCAACATTTTATTAAAACAAATGACTAAATGATTAATATGATTATTGTTTAACGCCGAGTCGGCCATATTTCAGCCATAATTCGGCACTGTGCATGCAAATTCAAAATTTTTATTGAAAAAAGACGTATGAGCGCGATGATGGTTTAAAAAAAATCATATAAAAAATAATTAAGAGCTAATATAGACTTTTCAATGCTGAAACCATTGTTTAAAAAGGATGACTCAAAGATCTATTACATAAAAATAGGTGTGGCATTCCACCTTAAGAAAATTAGACTAACTTTTGTTTTGAACAGAAAAAATGGAAGACAAAATGCAGTGGGCAAAAAATTACGAGAGAGTGCAGGAGATCGCACGCCAACTGTCATGGCCGCCGGTGACCGACCTTGACCCTAGAGTTTTCATTCCAGAGGCAAGTTAAAGGAGTGGGCTATAAAAATATATTATGTTAATCATATATTCCAAGCCCTCTGATTGGCTTAAGCTTGGTCTCATGATTAAGTATATAACATCATATAGACTTGAGTTACTATTTATAGTATCTGAAATGCATATCGACTTGATGTTTCTTAAAATGGAGGTAATTTTCCGTAAAATAAAAAATTAATTGTAGTGATTTCACAATTATAGCTAATACAATATATGACTTGATGTTTCTGAAAAAAAATACTTCAACTTAATTGTATTTAAATTTGTAATGTTCTGTAACTGATAAGACGTAACAATGGCCTGAACTAGGATCTACTTAATATTAGAACATATTGAATATCTTTGTCAAAATTGATACAAAACATAATCAAAAAGATGTACATTTATAGTATTTTCAATTAGTAAATCATCTAAAATACTCAAAAAATTGAAAGGAAACACATTTATATTAAACTGCTAAATTTATTTTGATTTCTAGTCTCTAAGTTTTAAGAGAGAAAACTTGTGGTTTGTTCCCATTTTTTCAAATTGTTTTTTATTAACTTCTGTAGCCCTTTAATTTGGTCAATCCATAGATATATCGACTTCGTGCTCGGTCAATATGCTTTTCTGTGAAGTCGATATATCTATGGATCGACCTCTTATATAGCATTTTCTTTACTTCTAAATACTTATCAAATAACTTTTAAAAACCCATCATTTTGTGTTGGAAAATTATTTTCAGTATGTACTGATTCCTGCTGACAAAGCAGGTACATGTAACAACATTGTCTTTGTTTGTAAGGCTCATTATTTAAATATTGCATTTTAGAGGAACTGGGATTTAATTGTACTAGCGGTAATCCAATAGCCCCTTTTCATTGTCAGTTTTAAATATTTGTTTTATATTCCTAAGTAGCAGAATAAATTATTAAGTCTTTATTGGATTCCAAAACTTAAAAAAAATCCTTACTAAGATACATAATGGTTCCAGTAAATGTTCTACCAAGCCTCTTTCTTTACTCCTCAGTAAAACATGAACAGTATTGAAGGAGCAACTTCAAAAGTACCGAAAGTACCGAAATCATGAAATTTTACTAAAATCAACAACATAAAACATACGACTTTTTATATATATTTTACACAACTTAATATACAACCATTCATTCAAACATTAAAGTCCAGGCTTTTTGATATCATTGACAGCTGCGTTTTCCCTAAAAATGAAACTCGAAAATCTTTACTTAACTTGTCACTGGTCATTTGCAAAATTATTTTGTTAAAAAGCATTCTGGTTGTACACACAAGTAATCCAAAGTTGATAGCAAAAAGTTGCTTGAGTTTTTGATTGACAATATCTATTTGGTTTTTGGAGAACATGTTTTGCAACATTCCATTGAAATACCCATAGTACCAATTGTGCTCGTTATTAGTAGACCTATTTTTGTATTCATATGAAGCAGAATTTGTCCAAAATCTTATATGTGAAAAAAAAAGCTTGCTGTGGCCTTCAACTCTTCATTTAGATATATCGACGACCTATTGTCAACTAACAATGGTTGTTTCCATTCTCATGTCGATACGATATATCCCGGTGAGTTTGAGATAAAAGATACTACAGAGTCTGACACTTTTGTTAGATATATAAATATTTTACTTGAAAAAGACGTTAATAATAATCTTACAATCAAGCTTTATGACAAGCAAGATGACATTAGCTTTTCAATCGCCAACTTCCCTCTCTTATGCAGCAATGTACCTTCATCACACGGGGTTTATATCTTTCAAGTGACTTTATACGCAAGAGTATGCTCTTCATATGAACAATTTTCAAAACGAGGAAAGTTTTTGACAAACAAGTTACTGAAAGAAGAATATCTGCAGTCTCGTCTAAAGTCATCATTTCGTAAGTTTTATGGTTGATACAATATTCTTGTAAGCAAATACAAATTATTATTACTTAAATCAAATGCTGACTGACGTTTTTGTTACAAATTGTTTAGTCATTATATACACACTGAATGGTCGACGAATTTTTCGGTTACTAGTATTTCCCAATCATGACAAAGAGCATACGACGGATGTGACCGGTCAGCACACTCTAAAAGAAATATCTATGCTGCACTTATTTTCACTGACATTGAATGAATGTTTTATGATAAATTGTAGGCCTAAGTAAATAATATCTTTATAACGTAAAAAATTACAGAGTGGTTGAAATTTTGTCTTAGTCATAGGATTTTTTGTGAAAAGTGCCACAGATCCTGAAAAGACGTTGTCACCGAAAATATATCCAACCAGGTTCAAATAATTATTATCATATCTAAAATGTGCTAGAAAATTGACTAAGTCGTGCCTAAATATGGTCGATATTAACGCACTTGGAAAAAATTCGAAGTGTGTTAACTTGGTCCCAAATTTAATGCAGTAAATGCAAATTGAAAAAAAATGTTCAAAATACGTAATTTTTCTAAGTGCATTGTAGCAGAGCGCACGGCGGGTGTGACTGGTCGGAACGGTATGCTCACTCCTGTATGACACATGATCCCACCTCTTATGTTTTGGAGGTCCATGTTTCCTCTGCTTTTGATATGTATTGTTTAAATGGAGTTAAGAGCAAGATTGCTGTTCTTTGTCTCAATATCATTTCATTTACATATATTACTGATCTCGTGGAACAGATTCTGGATAAAATTATCATGGTATAAATCCTTTAATGTAAAAGAAAACAAAAAACAAAACTGGAGTAAAAATCTAATCTTTGACTTAAGTAAATATATGGTTAACTTTTAAAATTTAATTTTGTTTACAGTATTTAAAGTCGACATTACTAAAACAGCCATGTGAGCACCTCCTGCTGACGTGCCCCGACCGGCAGCTTCTTCTTGAAGGGCAGCTCACTCTAATAGGTGGGGTCCTTAAACCTTTCTACAAGTAATTCCGGTCCATTTTCTGTTTTGCGAATGGTTTTGGATTGTTAGTGTAAAGGACATACTCGTGTATTGATCAACTATATGTTAATTTATTGATCAACAAACATTTATTGCAAATATTAGTGAAAAAAATATACCTTTACTTTTATTCATGTAATCTCACACTTATATGTATACTATATGACTGGATACTTTTACGTACATTTCATATACTTTTGATTGTTAATTCTTCGTAACTTAAAACCTTTTAAAGTGTAAGCATTTACAGTTTAAATTTTACTTGAATTTTGTTTTTCTTAAGATTTAAGATAGTACTGATTAAATTCATTTCGTCATTTTTTACAGAACCCACCAAGATTCTGGATATGTATCTTTTTCTCTTTGATGATATTTTATTACTAACTCGGTTGAAAAAATCTGCTAAAAAAGTAAGACATATTTTATTTCAATAGTGCTTAAATTATGATTTATTCTTTTACTGTTCAGTAAAATACATAATCATTATCTCTAAAAAAAGTTTGCTTTTAATTACTCGAGATTTTTAAGCTAATTCGTAGTCAAAACCAAACAATTTTATCATACTTTGTGAAGCAAACTGAATTCGTATTTTTTTTTTTAAAAAAGCCATTTATATGCAAGGTAGAATTGTGTTTATTATCAGATGGTCAATGATTCCTAACAATAATAAGTAATGGTAAAAAAATGTTTTTCACTTAGAACTATCCTAATCTCTAGGTGAGCGATGTTTTATTTTATCGTTGTGTAGAAACAGCAGACCTCCGGGGGTGACTTGAAAACCCCACTCCCCGGGGACAGGTGTCTGTACACGGTATACAAACAACCCATCTCCCTCGATAGAATCTGTCTGCATGATATTCCACCAACCGAAACAGTGGGTGAGTATTGGTAATCATGGAGAAGACATAGGTCTAAAGGTTGTGCTTTTATGCTCACTCCTCCATGGCACCTGATCCCACCTATATGATGTTTTGAAAGTCCGAATTTGCTCTGCAGCTATTTTGTATTGTTTTATGGACTTTTGATCTTGAATACTAGTTCGTTATCTTCATAATTTTATGTTTTATTTTATTTCAAAATGAATTATACATTTTTATTTTAAAACAAAATAATTGACACAGATTAAAAAATTAACAGAAAAAATTTTATGTCTTGATCCTTAAAATTAGTATTTTTTTTATATATATATAGAAACGGTTATTAATCGCTAAAGTATCAAACTATTCAGCTTAGCGTTTCGAGCATATACATGTAGTTATTTATCTTTAGGAAAAATCATAAATGGACTATAATCACTTGCTTCGGAACACACACACTAATATTTCAAGCAAGAAAATATTGTGACTTATTAACATGATTAAATGAACACAAGAATTGCCTCTTATTTATTGATATTCCGAATCCAATCTATGTTTTTCAGCTAACGGCATCAAGTCAGCATTCGTACTGGTCCAAATCAGCCGCTATCAACAAATTATTGGAGTCTTCACGCTTCAGTGCTCAAATGATGCGGCCAAGGTTGGTTATTGGATCCTCAGTGTAGAAAAAAAGGAAATCAAAAGTTCATAGACGGAAGATAGCAATTTTAATTCTATGATCCCAACACTATTTTTTACGTGCAAGGAATGTTTGCGAGCTTTGTAACTCAAGAATATTTCTATTTATATCTTTAAATGCGTGTATGTGCGGAATAATTCAGTTGAAATATTGATAATTCTCAAAAGACTTTAAATTCAAACTGAAAATTACAAAAAGAAAATCTTTTCACTTCTGTGTAGAAATCGTTCTGATAATCTTTAAAACACAGCAATTTTCTACATTCTTTTACAGCTGTTTAACTTTTTGGCATGATGCGTGAATATGCTTAAATAAAGAATCATAATTCTACTATTTTATTGTAGCTGAAGTGGATGGATAAACTCCGAGAGGCTAAGGAAGGATTGGAGAGTGTGGTATCCAGACGAGGAACGAACTCTTCCGATAAACAACCCAAAAATGAAAAGTGATCAAACTGACAGAATTAAAGAATTCATGTTTTGTTGGAAATACAATGAATTTTTATTTTGATTTAAAAATAAAAAAAATTAAAGTGTATATAAAGGAGTAATGCTTCTTTCTATTCCAGTATAGAAGTCCTCATCCAAAAGAATTGATTTTTCTAAACTTTGAGTTGTAAATTTTTTAAGGTTGAAACTGATTTCCATTTGAGAGAGCGATTACAGGGGTTTTAAATCCAAATATCATAACAAACCAAAATAAGCATGAACAAGGTCAGTTTAAGAACAACCGGTACCCTGTATAGCAGCTGATGACCAATTAAAGTTACTGAAAGGAGGGACTTTTCAGTAAAATAAATCTGTACGTAAAATATAAAATTCCCAGCACCAAACGCACAAAAATTGTATCCAAGATTACTTTGATCAAAAAGAACAAAATCTATATACCCGTAAATCACTGAATACAGGAACAGAATGATTCACAAAATGTGTTTGTGAACACTGACATTCCCGTAGGCACCCCAAGGCCTATATTAAAGGTATTCAAAATTAATGGTTGAAAATTCGAATGAATTTCAATTCAAAGGAGCGTGGGACCAAAAGAAAGGTCTTGTCTTAAGGAATACTCTTTTACAATCAAAACCTTTAGGACTTACCATCTTAGCCACAGCACTATAGCTCACCGAGAAAGGTCTGCAATTTTAAAAAATCTGTTGATTCAGAGTACCCGATACCGATGAGCTTGAAATAAGATACCACAGAATCTGACGCTTCTGTTTCATATTTGGATATTTTACTAGAAAAAGACGTTAGTGGTAATCTAACAGCAAAGCTTTATGATAAACGTGATGGCTTTTACTTTTCAATCATTAACTTTCCTTACTTTTGCAGCAATATGCCTTCATTACCTTCATACGGGTGTATATCTCTCAGTTGATTCGATACGCAAGAGTATGCTCTGTGTATGAATAACTTCTTAAACCAAGTTAATTATTGACAAATAAGTCGATGAAACAGGAATGTCAGCAGTCTCGTTCAAAGTCATCATTTCTTAAGTTCAATGGTCAATACAATGACCTTGTCAGCAAATACAATTTTTCATTAAGTCAGCTGACTGACGTTTGTCATACTAATATTTTAGGCCATAACTTACACACTGAATTGTCAACGGATTTCCCCATTATTCCCCGATCACGACAAGGAGCATACTGCGGCTATGACCAGTCGCTAGGTGTTTCTCTCTTCTCATGGCACCTGATCTCACCTCTGATATTTTGGAGGTCAGTGTTTGCTCTGCTCCAATTATGTTTTGTTTTGGACTTTGAGCATGAATACAGTTTGTTATCTCCATATATTTCATTGAGGTTTCTCAAATACATGTCAAATTCTAAGTTTGGCGGTTAAAAAAGTTGATACCAAAGAAAGACTAGGTGAGAAGGGTCAAAGTTGTCGGTATCAAAAGGAAGGCCTGCACATGGAAATTACCCATGAAATATGAACACCCTAGGACTAAATGTTCAAAAGTTATGCCTAAATATAAAAATTGGTCACACTCCAATGTCAAGGTAAAAGTTAACATGCATGTAAAGGTCTTATCACAATAGATTATCTGAAGAATAAAAGCTCAAACACCATTTGTGTAAAAGTTATGAAAAATTCAAAATTTTGTAAGTCTAAAGTTTGGTAAATTCTTGCAAAATTGTGTCAAACTCTAAGGTGATGACGAAGAGGTCAAATATGATGGAACTCAAAGAAAGGTCGTGCCACAAGGAATAAACTTATGACATTGAGAGCTGTAGCTCCAACAAATCGAATGTTATGGAAAAAGTTGAAAGCTTTTGCGGAAAAACAGAAAACAGCTTGACAGACTAACGGACAGTGCAAAACAATGTAAACCCGCATCTTTGATCAGAAAACTGCCAACCACCAAAACAAAATAGATTTAAAAAGAAAACGGAGAGTGCATCATTCCCTTTTTCTAACTTTTATACATCTGTCGAGCATGTTATGGTCTGAATAAACTAAAAAATGTTGAGTTTAATTAATATCAATACTGTCTTAATAAAAATGGAATAATAGAATATAAATGCACAGCTGTTGGTCTTTTGAGTATTAGATTGAAATGAAATCAGCGACAAAAATACATGAGAAATTGGTGGTCGATAATGTATTAAAATATCGCAATATTTAAGATTGTCACTTACTGAAAAAATTCTGAGGTTTAAGTTAATTACGAAAAGGGTGGTCTATGATAAAGGGTTTATCTACAAATGATTTCACTGTGGTTCCTTCTCCATCACAAAGTCTGGAAGATGTTCTTTTTTAGTCTTGAAATTTAAGAAACCCTTTCTGTCGAACACTTTTCAGTAGAATGACACGGTTTGGATTTAAACCTACATATGAACCTGCGTGTACTGATAACTGTTTGGTGTTCCAAAGACCAGAATGGATTTTGATACAAAAGTGAAGAATGGTTCTATAAATATCAATATCTAGCCATCCAAGGTAAGGATTTTTATTGTTTGTTATTCTTTAATAGTAAAAATCATGAAAATAATTTAAAAATAAACATTTCAAACTAATAATATACTTACACTTATGATATATATCCTAGTTTTCAGTTTTTGTTTTAGATAGTGTTTAAGGTTGGGCATTAAATAATGAAAGAGTAAAAAAAATTATTAATATGGTGTTACTGTAATCGGAGAAAAATGCAAATGAAATAAGTTTCACGACTTTGCTGGCCAAGAATTACAAGGAAGGATTAAAACCCTCGTCTTGCAAAGTTGGTAACAACGTACATGTTTATATATTTGCAATGGACATGTATTGAATTATACACAATACTGTCATTATTGAGCAGAATTGAACGATCGATTGGTCCTCTGTCGTTTTTCGTCCAATTTGAGAATGTTTCGGTCATATAGAGACGGCACCTCACACTTAGCACTCATGGCTTTTAGAAATTGAGGAATCTTTATCGTGACAACACCTGCCGTGACACGGGGCTTCGTTTTTTAACATCTCATCCAAAGAATCTGCAACTTTTGTTTCAAAGTGTCGATCGAACGCTTGGCGAAAGAATTTTTTTTATCAACTTTGGTTAAAAGCGGCCGGGATTCAAACTTACAAACTTCCGATCACAAAGCAAACGCTGACTGAGCTTTGTACAGTGTACCATGACGGGCTCATCGGGCAGGGAGAAAATATTTTGAGCGTATTTAAAAAATAGTAGCCCTCGTGGTTAGAGTGTTTGCTCTAGAATCGCGGCAAGAGGAGTGGATCCGAACGTCGCGGACTCGAATCCTTTTGCGGACCGTAAAGACCGGTCTTTCGGATGAGACGGGACAAGAAAATAGAGATCCCTCGCAGTAGCTGCTTGCAAGAAAAAGACCCCCACTACTCAGTGGTCCTGAGAATAGGTCTAAAAATTTCAGCGCTCCAACAGGCTTTAGTGGCGTTTCAATATTCATGAGTAAAAAAATTCTCGAAAGGGATATTAAAAACACAAACAAACAGTCAATGAATCCAGTAAAAAATAGATTGTATTTCATTTCTTACACAGTTTTGCACCAGTCAATCATAGTTGTTTAAAAAAACACTTAAAGAGTGAATTTATATTATGAAAATAGAGATAACAAGAGTAATCAAGTCAAGACTCCTTCGAATGAAGGATATGGGGATAACGAACAGTATTCAATATCAAAGTCCATAAAACAATACAAAATAGGAGCAGAGCAAACACGGACCTCCAAAACATCAGAGGTGGGATCAGGTACCATGGAGGAGTGAGCATCCCCTGCCGACCGGTCAAACCTGCCGTGTGCTCCTTGTCGATATCGGGAAATAACGAAAAATCCGTCGTCAATTCAGTTTATAAATAATGGACTAACAATTAGTATGAAAAACGTCAGCCAGCATTTGACTCAAGGAAAAATTGTATTTGCTGACAAGGTCATGGTGTCGACCATAGAACGTACGAAATGATGAACTTTTGAACATTTAGTCCAAGGGTGTTCATATTTCATGGGTAATTTTGTTTCATCAACTATTTTGTCAATAATTTACCTCGTTTTAAAAATTGTTCATACGTAGAGCATGCTCTAGCGCATCGAATCGACTGAGATATGTAAACTCCGTATGCAGGTGATGAAGGTATATTGCTGCATAGGTAAGGGAAGTTGACGATAGAAAAGTTAAAGTCATCACGTTTATCGTAGAGCTTGGTTGTTAACCATTGGTGTCTTTTTCAAGTAAAATATCCAAGTATGAAACAGATGTGCATGTCAGACCTCTGTGGTATTTTTTATCTCAAGCTCACCAGGATATATCGTATCAACATAGGAAATGGAATTTTTATCACTGTTAATTGACAATACGTCGTCGATATATCTAAATGTCGAGTTGAAGGCCACAGCAAGTGTTTTCTTCTTTTCATGCATAAGATTTTGCATGAATTCTGCTTCATATGAATACAATAATAAGTCTGTTAATAACGGAGCGCAATTGGTACCCATGGGAATTCCAATACGTTTTTGGAAGACCTGGTCTCCAAAAAGAACATAGAAACTCAAGCATCTTTTTTATGTCAACTTCAGAGTATTTGTATGTGAAATCAGAATGTGTTTTAACAAAATAATTTTGAGAATGACCAATGACGAGGTAAGTAAATTCATGAGTTCCATTTTTATTGAAATAAAACAGATTTGGAGCAGAGCAAAAAAAAAAGATCCCATTAAACCATCACAGATGGGATCAGGTACATGTACCATTGAGGAGTACTTATCCCCTGCCGACCTGTCACACCCGCCCTATGCTCCTTTGACAGTTCGTAGACAATTTATTGTGAATATATTGTTCAAGCTTTGCAAAATGTTTCTTTAAACGAGACTGTTAAATTTTCTTTTTCTTTTCTTTTTCAACAACCTGTTTGTCAATATCCTGAGTCGTTCTAAAAATTATTCATATTTATTGCATGCTATTGCGTATCAGATAATTAAACCCATATTCAGGTGATGATGGTATGTTTGCTAAGTTGACCAGAGAACAGTTGAAGTCATTACTTTGTCATTAAGTTTTTATTCTCAGATTAACCTTTTTCTCTCGTAAATTGATAATTTATGAAACGTATGTGTCAGACTCTTTATGATAACTAATCAACTTAGAAATGAACAAAGATATAGTAATTGTTAATTTTAAAAACATCAAATTTAAGGATTTGGGGCAAGATTACTAAAAATAAGTGTGAAAACCACACAGCTTGTTTATATGCACATTTTCAAGTAGAGTGATTTAAACACCAGTAATTCACACTTAAGTTTTCAATATTCTTTATATCTAAACTCTGTTTATTTAAAAGCATAAAAAAATAACTTCAGGGTATCAATTGTTTTTTTAATATAATTTTGCAAATTACCAATTACGAGAGGCGTAAATTTAAGAAATCTAATTTCATTGAAAAAGCAGCTCTGCATAAAATCAAATAGTCTTGACTTTATTTTATCGGAAGGGTGATATTTGTATGAAGTATTAAAATTCTTTAATTTTTGGTGTATTGGTAAATTTTGTGATTTCAAATACATGTGTTTGGAAAGTCCCTCGAAAATTTTAAGCTTTCACATTTGATTTACACCACTTCTCAATATTATTGTTTTACATTACTCCTTCATTGCTGCATATTTCTTAGAGAGGAGTAATTTGAGAGGCTTGATAAAGCATCTAGTGGAACTGACTAATAAATGTATCTTTGTTTGTCAGGACTCTCATGTAGTTTATCCAGTGTAGATATATGTATATTACTTTAATAACTAAATATACATGTATTATTGTTTAATTTTGCATTTACATCTAGCAGTTCAACTTCTTTTGTATTATAAAAGAAAATAATGTACATGAAGTATACTTTTGTTAAAATTAACATTTTTATGAATAATATATGCTTTTTAAAAAATAACCAACTTCTGCAAGAAACATGGGCTTTAAATTTTCTGGATGTTGCTGCATTGACCTTCATCCTGTATAAATTGAACATTACGCGACAGAATGAACAACGGAGGCTTCAATTTTCACAGCCCTTACACCATTAATCCTTCCCTTTTTATTATTTTGTGGAATATAAATTTAGTTTGGTCTCACTTATTTTGAATACCGATAGCGCTTTTTAGCGATGGTCAGAGTGTTATTAGGTTTGTTTGCGAAAAAAAGTAACGCTGCGCCTCGTCTAATTGTAGTTGTAACTTTTTCATATCTCTGGAAATTGCTTTTTCTGTTATTAAGCTAACAATTTAAGGGAAATCAAAGCCGAATCTCTTCCATTAATGCTAGAGCAAGGACAATAAGCGGTAATCGATATTTTTTGGCAGAGGCATCAGCAATGTTGACTTTATAAACGTTTCTCTATATTGATCAGAGACTACTCAAAACAAGTCACGTGGTACATGCTCTTGCGTCGAGGACACTTTCGTAAACAATTACGTGAATTGCTCGAAAAGGATGAGAGGCTATGCTTTATTTCACTCCGTCTATGGATGGGTATCAGTTAAAGACATCGCGGAATCTCCAAATCACACATCAGTAGTTCTTTCTATAAAAAGTTATATATCCGGGGTATTTGCCGTTATGAACGCGGTTGTAAACGTAGGCTTACTTGCTGGAATTCTTTTAATTGGAACTTTTGGTAATTTGCTGATTATTGTAACAATAACACGCAACACGACATTTCACAGGGCTCCATTCTACTTCCTGCTCAATCTTTCAATTTCCGATTTGTGTCGAAGTCTGTTTTGTATACCATTTGTGATTGCTTCCATTGTACAAGATGTCGGATGGATTCACGGAGAGGTGTCATGCATAGCAATTGCTTTTACTAACTTTTTCTTTGTGTTTAATTCGTTTATCAGTCTGATGGTCATTGCAATTGACCGTTACATATCAGTCGCCTATCCTTATTGGCATAGACGTTGGCTGCAAGGACCCACAAGTCTCACGCTGGTCGCCGTCGGCTGGATGCTATCGGCGTTGGTTTCGCTCCCACCCGTTTTCAGTGATGGATCATACACTTTTGTGGAAGAGGAAGATCAGTGTACTTTCAAATACACCTCCTATAAACATAATGACACGTTTGGATTTCTTCTTGTTCTAACGGCCGTGCAATTCGGCTCCGTTTTCATTTACGCAAGAATATTCATTTTCCTACGAGACCATCGACGAATGAAGCCTATTGAAACACCAGCTGCCATTAGTTCAAACTGGACTTTTACTGGTCTTGGGTTACGAAATATGTTCCCCAACGCCTGGAATGGACTCCCACTTCGTCCGATACCGACCATTACCCAGGGACTATCTAGTGGCCAGGGACACATTGGTCCAGCGCGGGAGAGGAGAAATGAGCACCTTACTCGTCTTTTCTTTGCTCTGACTTTGTGCATATATTGTTTGTGGGCCTTCTATTCCATTCAGTACTTTCTGTTGATTTTTACTGATACAGTGATTCCCAAAAGTGTTCGACGAATTACCACCTTGGCTACATTTTTACAAGTCTGTGTATCTCCTATTACTTTCACATTTCATTACAGGAAACTTTTGTTAAATAACTTACATTTCTATTTGAGAAGGGAATACAGTTAGGTTAATTTCGTTTTTAACTTTTTATCTTATTTGCTTAAATTGTAAAAATTTTGGTCAAACTTCGTTCCACATCTGTTGTTTGTCAAGTACCTTTTTTGATATTTTGAAACATGTAACTACCTTATAGTTAGTTTACTGTACATTGTACAAAACAAAATAATTTTTAAAACATCTTTGCCCTGTATCAAATCAGAATCAGTGTCGAGATGGCAATATGATATATGAAGATAACGAACAGATATCAAGCTCCAATATCCATCGAAACAATAAAATTCATAAGCAGAGCAAACACAGGCCTCTAAATCAAAAGAGGTAGAATAAGTTGCCATGGAGGAGTAAGCATCTCTTGACAACCGGTCAGACAAACTGTGTGATACTTGTTAAAATCAGGAAAAGGGGAAAAAATCAGTGGACAGATCATTGTGAAAATAATTGCCCAATCATAAGACAAGTATGAATAACATCAGTTATAGCTTTTTAGCAGTCTAAAACGAGGTGGGTTATTGACAATTAAGTTGATGCCACGAGAATATCAGCATTCTCTTTAAAAGCAATGATTTCGTAAGTTCTATGGTTGATACAATGACCTAATCAGAAATTCAAATTTATCAAACGCTGACTGACGTTTTTCATTGTTAGGTCATTATTCACACATTGAACTGTCGATGAATTAAATTTTTTCTGTTATTTTTCGATCATGACAAGGAGCACACGGCGGGTGTGACCGGTTGGCAGGGGATGCTCACTTCTCCATTGTACCTGATTCCATCTTTGATTTTTTAGAGGCCCGTGTTTGCTCTACTTCAAAATTTACATTATTTAATTGACATTTGAGCTTGAATAATGTTCGGCATCTCCATATTTTTCAATGACTGACTGTTTGATTTAACTCCGTATTGAACATGAAGAGGACTACCGAAATATTGATTGTAAACGAGACTTTGGTTATCAATAGCTTGTCTCTTTTTAGAAATTATTCGTAGGTAAAGCGTACTCTTGCAGATTGAATCTGCCTGGATAATCAAAAGATTAAGGAGCAATATGAAAAACCATATATCCTTCTGTATTCAATAATCCATGTGAAAAAAGAATTAATTTAGATGGATTTCATGATCAGTATGTATTGGTCCCTGCTGATAAAGCAGATAACAACATTGCCTTCTTCTGTAAGGTTATTTCATTATATATATTGTATTTTAGAACAACTTGGATTTAATTCCTCAAGTGGTAATTCACCTTATACTCATCGATCCCTTTCAAAAACATATGTCAGTTTTGATTATTTTTAATATCCCAAAGAACCAAAATGAATTTGAACTATCATATTTATACTGGATTCCGAAACTTCATAAGAATCCTTACAAAGAAAGATACATAGCGGGCTCCAGTAAATGTTCAACTTTATACACAACCATTCCCCGCTATGAATTAAAGTCCAGGCTTTTTGATATCATTGACAGCTGCTTTTTCAATAAAATGGAACTCGTAAATTTACTTACCTTATCATTGGTCATTTGAAAAATTATTTTGTTGAAAACAGTCTCATTGTACATACAAGTTCTCTGAGGTTGACATCAATAAGATGCTTGAGTTTCTGAATGACAATATCTATGTTGTTTTTGGAAGCCAGGTCTTCCAACAATGTATCGGAATTCCCATGGGTACCAATTGCACCCCATTTTAAGCAGACCTGTTTCTGTACTCATATGAAGCAGAACTTGTGCAAAATCTTATAAATGAAAAGAAAAAAACACTTGCTATAGCCTTCAACGTTTAGAATATCGACGACGTATGGTCAATTAACAATGGTAATTTCCATTCTTATGTCGATAGAACATATCCTGATGAGCTTGAGATTAAAGATACCACACAGTCTAACTCATCTGTTTCATATTTGGATATTTTACTAGTATTTGAAAAAACGTTAATGATAATCTTACAACCAAGCTCTGTGATAAACGTGATGACTTTAACTTTTTAATTGTCAACTTCCCTTACTTATGAAGCACTATACCTTCATCATATGCATACATGTACGTAGTTTATATATCTCAGTTGATTCGATACGCAAGAGCATAATCTATGTATGAACAATATCTGAAACGAGGTAAATTATTGACAAACAAGTTGATGAAACAAGAATATTAGCAGTCTCGTTTAAAGTCATCATTTCGTAAGTTCTATAGTCGATACATTGACCTTGTCAGCAAATACAATTTATCATTGAGTCAAATGTTCACTGACGTTTTTCATACGTAAATTGTTTTTCCATTGTTTATACACTGAATTGATAACGGATTTTTCCGTTGTTTCCCGATCATGACGATGAGCACACGGCGGATGTGACCGGTCGACAGGGGATGCTCACTCCTCCATTGCACCTGATTCCACCTCTAATGTTTTGGAGGTCCATGTTTGCTCTGCTCCTATTTTGTATTTTTTTTAATGAACTTTTGACCTTGAATATTGTTTGTTATCTTCATAATTAAGTTTTTAATAAATAAATTTCACAAGTAGGCGATAAGTGATTTTGACATTAGGAAGATTAATTAACGTCATCATGTTTGCTATAGTTTTGTTGTTAGTTTATACCGTCTTTTTCTAGAAAAATATTCAAATATGAAACAAATGTGTCGTCAGAGTCTGTGGTATGTTTTAAATCAGGTTGTGACTGGGATAAATCGAGTCTTCATTTGGATGGAAGTACACATACTCAGTTACATTTTTAAAATACATCGTCGTTTTTAGATTTCGAGTTGATGGTAACAAGTGCCTTAATTATGTATAATTTTTTTTAATATAAATTTTGCTTCATATGAATTTTAAAACAGGTATGCTAATAACGGGGTGCAATTTCCAACAGATCGGTCATTGTAAGAATTTAATTGGAAAATCCTATTAGCTAAAAATGTGTAGCAATTGTCAGTCAGAAATCAAGCATCTTTAATTTCGCCGTATACATAAAAATATTACTAACCCTGTGTTCTAAAGATTTTTACTACGTCCACCACCAGACTTCAAGTCATTGAGAGCTATTAAACAAGAGTTTGGAGGAGTGTTTTATTGTGAAAGTAGTAAAAAAACAAATTTTGTGAAGACACAGAACACGGACTGTAGAGTCATATTTTGAGATAGCATTTCAAATAAACGAAAAATAAATTTAAAAACGTGCACTTTTCGTGTGTTGTGAATTTTCAATGGGTGACATTTTAGAATATTTTCAGCCCATCTTTTTGGAGCTTTACAAATCAATGCTTGAACAAAAATCAAAATTCAAGAGATCTATAATTCTCTTTTGGGGGGGAAAAGTTTCGTCAAGAAAAGTAGTTTATTTTTATAGCTTTAATATTGAATTATCTTGAAGGTAGCATTGAAACAGAAAAAGGATAAGATTAATTTTGCAAAGGATTATCAATAGAGATTATAGAGAAAATATCTAATAAAACATGTACATGCACGCTGTAGTCAAAATGATGTTCAAGCCAGCCACTGTTACATGTAATATTAACTATCTATAGAAACCCCTTGTTTTTGACAGGAATATTTACCATAAAATTTGATTTCTTGAAAATGTATTTCAAAGACAAAAAAAATGATTTCTTTATCAGTAAAGTTTGAATAATCTATCTGTCTCGGGACATTTAGTCTCCGTCAAAGTTGCCAAGATTTCAAGACGACAAAAAAGAAAAAGAAGATGGTGTACTCTCTTAGATGTCTCCATGAATAAAGATGGCTCTACAATCATGTAATTGCTAATCAATGCTAGAAAATGGGAATTCAAGAATGAAAGTGTTACGTAACATGATGGTACAGTGATCTTCCGGGATTACAAGAGCAGAAGCATGACACAGCAATCGTCTCTGATTCAGTAAAATTAGGACAATTAAAATTGATTTTCTGTCATTTCAAGAGTCAAAAATAACTTTTTTGTATAGATTTATGCGCTTTACTCTTGAACGAATGTTTACTCGGACATTGCGTGGCTAACTGGTACGAGCTGTTGATTTCCTAGAATGTACATGTAGCTCAGGGTATCTGTGTGAGGTGGTAACGAACGGTATTCCTCCAATTAAACTAGATGTTAGCAGGACTAACACCGATCAACCTTTGAAAATATTAAAGGTGGGATTCGGTGCCATAGAGAAGTAAGAATCCCCTGTCAATCCTACTCATTACACCCGCGTCGCGAGTCGCTTTTCATAAACGGAAAAATCCGTGGACGATTTACAATGACCTAACACTTTGAGAAATTTCAATCTTCTTGAGAATATTGTTATTGATCAATTCAACTTTGTTTTTGACTTTTCTTCATAATCTCCCTTTGGAAGCAATCTTGGTCCTCAATTCAAGCTATTTAGAAAAATCACTTTACCCAATGCATTATGTTATTTTTTGTGGAAATTAGCTCAGTACTGAGGAAATATAGCATACATGAAACGTTTACAGATGGACGGACAGAGGGACCAACGGGCGCAGGAGAGTTGGTGATCAGAAAAACTCCTTGAACATTTAAATCGGGTGAGCTAAAATATAGTGGAATATTTTATACGCCATATTTACATTAAAGGCATGGCCTTGGATTGATTTGAAGCTTTGGTTTTGATTTCGTTTCGTTCAAGTATAATATATGGCGGACGAGAGATTTTAATCAGAGAAAATTCTGTGAATGTTTTAGATACATATGGTGAAATGCTGTACCAAAGCCATATGCATGTAGCTCTCTCAAGTAAGTGAAAACTAGAACTGCGTGATCCTTTTGGATTCGTTAATTTGGTGAAATCTGTGTGCAACGCGCTTGCATCATTCTCGATAATTTCTAAACTTCATAAAAAAAGAACAAAACGGGACGAAAAAGTTTAGAGTCTTAGATAGACAAACATAAATTAATTACAAAAAATAAGAAAATTACATACATGTACCACGGATTAAAAAAATTGCTAGTTGTATATTACCAATACATGTATTTATTAAATTTTTAACAAAGATCCTATGAAAAAACTAACTGGAGTTGAAGTAAAAGAAAAATAAAAATTCAATGTATAAAAAGGACATACTTGCTTCTGTACAACGTGTTATCTTCAATTTTGCCAAGAAATTTAAGATTAGAAAGTACGTATCTTATGTGATTAGTAACCAAAAAGTATTGTTTATTATTTAAAGCTGAAAATTTTAGAAATTAGTAACCAAAAAGTATTGTTTATCATGTATAGCTGAAAATTTTAAAAATTCAAAATGTTTTATTTAAGTCAAACATTTAGGTTACTGCATTTAAAAAATGGATCTCATCATCCAGGTATGAATGTGTTGAGATTACAACTGATACATTTTGAAAACGATTTTTTTTCCAAAAGATGACGCTAATTTTACACAAATTATGATAGTGAATTCTTAGATTTAATTATGTCTGAAGATACATAATTTTGTTTGTTTTCTATTATGCTTAATCATTGTGAATTTGTCATCAGGATGGTTTTATTGATTTTCGACTGAACATTTTTGTTTTATCATCATTATGTCCTGTTTCCAACGTATTTGCTATTTTTTTTTTTATTTTAAAGCCTTTGTGATGCATAGTCTCTCTCTTCAAAGGGAAGGTACTCCATTTAAATAATTGTACAATAGCCCCAGTTCTCTGTCCTTGAGAGCGGAGTTTGCCGAGGATTGTCGAAGAACACCTCGGATCTTTCAGATAACGGAACAAAAAAAGTCCGAGATAATCCGATAGATTCAAGGAATCAAGGGCAGGAAACCAATACCAATCAAAACATAGACGAAAAAGTTCCAAATGGATTGTTTACCATCTAAATATTGACTGTTCGTTTTGTAGAATTTTATGAAGATGCGATCCAAATCATGAGAGAAAAATAAATTGCACTAGTAAGTTAAATATAAATCGTCGATTGATCAAGTTTCTATTCCACCTAAATTTATAAATATCTTGACAACTTACTTGTCACGTTTCATGGACATTTCGAATTTCCTCAATTGCAGAATCTTGTGTTTATCTAAAAAAGTTTAGAAGTCAGACTCGGTGAACTGAATAGTAAGAATTTCCAAGTTTTCATTTTAAATATTCACCTTTTTGCTGATGTCTGGTTGTGACATTGTTTTCAGTAACTGAATCTTGGGACATTTCGTATCTTGATTCCACAAATTGACAAAGTCATAGGTGAAAAATTGTAACGTTCTCATCAGACCTGAAAATTCTATCTTTTATATTTCACAGTGACTTGTTCTAAATTGTACACACTAAGTTCACGTTCTGTGATGAAAATGTTATGCCTCGGTGTGTAATGTACGTGTATATATTTCTAGTTCTCTTGCAATGACTGGGCAAAAACTTATCTACTCGAGTCTTCAGGTTGAACTTAACTTATAAGTAATTTACCTGTAAGTAAAACTGTAAGTCTTTAGCATTTTTTCAAGTAATTTCAAAGGGAAGCACAGTAGTGCCGAATTACAATTATTTATTTGCCTATTGACATGTTGAACTTATTTATTTACGAAGGCATAGGTGACATCTAAGGGTTCAATATGTTTATTGTTCATAGGAGTTTTAACTTTAATCAAAATTACCTTCAAGCATTGCAATATAGGAATTAACAATCCGTGAAATTGAATATAGGTTAATTGTTCAAAATTGATTAATTTAGTTAGTAAAGGACTAAAGTTACTTTCAAAAGTAAATAAAACTATCAATAAAAGTATCAAAACATCAATAAAGTATTGACATTTCATGTTGAAAATTGTTTTAAATGCTACATGTGTATTTCATGAATAAACAAATGAAATTCATTGCCATAAAGGTAGGTTGATATTTTGTATTTAAAAAAAAAATAATTTGAGTGTAAATTACACAGACTTGTCATTTACATGATTTAGGCATATTTCAGTAAGTGTAGTGCAATAGACTTTATATTTTGGTAAAAATGTTTGAATGTATGCAAAAATTCTAAACAAATTCAAAATAATATCATCAGTTGGTTCACAAAATAATATCAATATTTTAAGCATACGATTGTAATTTTTAAAATCCAACAAAGAAGTTGCAATAAATTGCTATATTTAATATGTGTTTAAAATAAAAGTTAATTGCACCACGAAGAGGAAGGATGGACATCATTGTGCAATAAATGTGTTACTGTTATCTGTATAAATTTACTTCAAATACCAAGAATATTTCTTAGTCTTCACATTCCAACACCTGCAAAAACATTCTTCAAACAATACGTCTGTATGCATGCATGGTGAAAATTTTATAAAAAGTAAATCAAAATTAAATATTGCAATTGACCAATAATGTGTTTTCATGCCCTTTCTTCAAACGGGGGTAAACAATTCTCATTTCTGAACATGCATTTTTTTTGTTGCACTACAGGTGCCATTTTAATACATGATGATCATGAATATGTATAAGATATGCAGTGAGAGTATATGTGCATATAAAGATCATTTGTAGTTAAATATGTAGGCTTTCCTACTGCTGTTCATTCAGAATGAATGAGGATTGCTTCATTTTAATCATAATTGTTGCTTAATTTAACTACTAGACAATTAATATCCTTTCCGCCTTGCAAATAGTAAATATTCCACTTTTAGAAAATCTGCTTGCCCGATTATCCATAACATTTTTAATATTGTTTCATTTTATAACAAGTTTTAGAAAGTACATTTTTTGCTGTTCACAGTTGACTGTTTAATGTCATATAAACTGATTTTCCTACTGAGCCAAATCAATTCTTATCAGAAATAATTTAATACTAATAAATCATATTTATATTAATACTTGATGACAAGGAGAAAATATTTTATTTGTTAAGCTGTTAGCTAGGCAATCTTTAAATAAATGTTTCAAATTGCTTCGCGGTTTATAAAGCTGCCCTTTATTCCCAGTACAGAATGAAAAAAAAAATGTTTCCTTGAGGTAGTGACGTTAGATATTAAAGGTGTTGAGTTAGACATTTTTCAGTCAGTCAATCGAGATCAATTTTTTAACTCCACAGTCAAAATTTTATTTTTTCTTTAAAAAAAGATTTTTTTTCCAAAAAAAAATTCCTAGAAAGGTGAAGGTGTCAATTATCTCGGGGGAAGCGCGGCTAATTAGTTGACGCTATTCCTGTTGTAAAGCATGCAAACGCAGACAAGGTACCATGTGCCTATGCCTATAGACCTCTTCAGGTGATTATATTCTGCTAGTAAATAGCATGACTAAATTACAATTTCAGTAAAACATGCATATAATGAAGTGCCAATTATTGATGTATGATTTTGCTTTGTTATAAATGTAATTCGTTATATCCCTTGAAGTTAACAATTTACTTTTAATGAAAATTACTTTGCTGTAAGTGTCTATTTGTTAGAAGTGTATTTCACAATATGTTTTGCATTCAAATTATAATGATAAATACACTGTATTTTAGGGATGGGTATCGCCAAAAATTTTGTATCGCGATATATCACGATTTTTTCCCACAGTATCACGATAATAAATTATCATGATATTTTTAAAAGCAGTTTTTACAATGATTTTACATGAAAAGTCCTTAGGAAACGAGTATTTTAAATGACTTGTGACATGACCTTTCTAATGACCTCACATATTTACATGCGTATTTTTTTCTAAAGAATATTCTAGAAAAACAAAATTTTACTTTCTTGAAATTTTTATATATATAAAATCAATTATGTTTGGACAGTAAGATGCCGTTCTTTTCACTCTTTACAACATTTTTTATACTTTCTGCAATTGCATTTTGAAAGACTGAACAAATAAATGAATAATTTCTGGACTTTATAATATGTACCTAAAGACCGGTATTTAGGTCTCCATATCATGATATGTATCACGCAACAAAAAATCGCGATATACTGGAATACCGATAAAATCGCACATCCCTACTGTATTTACATTAGCAAATGTTTTCTTTAATAAAATAACATGTCTGTTAAAAGCAAAATGTATATATGTCTTTTGTATAGATCTATACATAAACACGAGTTCCTAATGACATAAATGTTTGACTTAATTTCTCACTAAAGTCATGGGGTTGACTGAATCAATTTAATTAAGAGATCAAACTGGTGCCGTTGAGTTTAAAAAATAAAACATTTCACACGGTTAAGATTGTGATCAGGAAAATATAAAGTACGAACTATGCAAAGCTCATTGCAAAGCATCGAGTAAGTCTTCTGTCAGATTTTCAAATGAACTGCTTGTGAGATGGGTAAATGATAAACGAATCATTCATAAAGAAGAAGGCTTCCAGACCAAAAAAAAAATTTGATCGGTATTTAATATTTTTATGATTGAAATCTATATTGATTTTCGTTTAATAAAGCAAATCAAGACTACATGTACTTCCGGTCTGACATAAAATTGATGTCCAGAACAAATGTACAGCCCCTCTAGATTCCTTTTTATAGGAGCCAGCCACTTTTTCGAGATGTAATTTGAAAGTTCTTGTTATTTGGCACAATTTTAGTTCTATATATTTAACAAAATATTTCCAAGTAAAAAGATAATTAAGTTAGAAGAAGTGTTAGAAATATTGAAACTCTCGCTTTTCAGGCCATAATGAGCGTCAATGTGCAGTGCTTCCGGTGGAAGTAAACTATATATTACAAATCTGTATTAGTTGCTTTATCTTGGCTGAAAGTTGACATGTGATAAATGGTTTAAGTTAACTTAAATAATTCCCGGAAAGACTGACCCTCCAAAATTACTTCATCGCAAAAATTTTGGGACTTGAAGCAATCTGATTAAAATCAGATCTTTGTTACGCTCCGAAATTCTGATGGTTGCTGTACAGTATGCAGCGACCATAAGAATTTTAAAGCATAACAAAGATCTGATTTTAATCAGATTGGGACTAGAAGTGACATCATCAAAACAAAATAAAGAGTTATCTGGAATTTTTAATGTTCTATTAGACCTGAAAATATCTCATGAAAATCAAACATGCCGTTTTAGAGAAATCAGGTACATAAAATCAGTACGAAAAAAAAAAAACAATAAGAAAACAGTGGAAAAGATCGAAACCTAAAAAAAGAAAAAAAAGTCTTTCGTTGAAGATGGAAGATCTTAATAAGTCACAAATGTAAACATAAGTAATAAGGTACCATTTTAATACATCCATCAGGATATAAATAGGGTTTGGTACAATTAAGAGATCAAATTTACCATGGAGCCCTTCAGAACCAACCTGAATTTAAATATTCCGATATATGCTGAAAGATGAAACCTTATTTCTAAATTAATTACTGTACTTTTAATTACTTTATAATTAAGGTTAGATTGAAATTAACATATAACTTAGATGTACAAATTAAATGCTGTTATGTGTCCTTAATTTAACAACAAATTACTTCGTTGGTAACAGAATAGATGCATTCAGTTTGGTCTTTGATGATGCCTGCAGTTAATATAATTTATTTACCATAAAAATCAACAAACATAATAAGATGTCCTTAATATTTAACAACCAAATCAAATGATTGAATTGAAATTTAAATATTTTGTCAGGTACAGCTATAATCATGAATCAACAATTGTAATGCTGAGAGATAATGATCATGCACACCTACACTTACAACTTGTGTTTACATCTAATTTAAGTTTAGATTTCCTGGTAATCAGAATATATAGACTGACAATTATAATGATGTATATTCATACAATTACAACTTTGTAAAAAAATAATTTTTAAAAAAATATTTACCAAAGTCCTTCCAGTTTGACTGTTACAAACTCCCCACAATTATAAGACATCCTGTATTGTCGGTTCACTTTAGGTTAGATTTTTCCGGTTTTCCTTTCACGGTGTGATCAATATCTCTCTGAATTCTGCATCACTGCCTTTTGTACCTTACAGTGCTGGCTAATTTCTGTGTATTTGTACCTGTATCTCAGTATTATACCGGTAGTGACAGGTGTTTATAGATTATAAACAACAGCTGTATGTCTATACTCTGTGGAGAAAATTCACCACGTGATTGTTTTTAAAATATGGAGCATTTTGTATGGAGACTCAATGATGCTGACTGTTCGAAGAATTTAGCTGTTTGAATCTTTTAATTGAGCTGTGTTTTATGGAACTATAATGACTTGGGAAGGACTTGACATTTTTGTCTGTGTGTCTGTACAAACATCCAGACTTTCTGCGAGGGGAACTTTTTATTATAGCTTTTGATTAATGGTAATCTGAGATTTCAGAGGGCAGACCTGCTTTTTGTCATTCTTTGTGTGTTTCTCACAAAAGAGGAGGAATCAAAATGAATAGAAGGAGACACTATAATAAAAAGCCCCGCTCCAGATGGATCCACCACATTTTTGGTAGGTGTAATATCCTTATGTTGCTGCCTAATATCGATACTTGTCATTCATTATATTGAAAATTGATGGTTACTAAAGGGAGAGTACTCTTAAACTTGTTTACACACTGTGTACGGGCATTGTTATCTGAAAGCTTATAGAGCCCAGAGGTAGAGGAAAAATAAAAGCTGTCAATCTTTATAATGAATACATGCCTACAGATAGATTGATTTAATCATGTATATTAAAAGGAGCCAGTGTCTCAGCTATTTCATTCTAAGGATGTTAATGTAAAATTGTTTACCGTACTAGCTATCATAGCTATCATGTGTTGATGTCATTTAATGCACAGACGATGCACAGCATCATATAATAAATACATGCCTACAGATAGATTAATTGATTTAATAGGAGTCAGTGTGACTGCATGTCTGAAGCTATTTCATTCTAAGGATGTTGTTTGTAAAATTGTTACCAGCTATCATATATGATGTCATTTTAATAATGCACAGCTGCAATATATTTCAATGTTTAACAAACATCATAAATTATTCTTTCTTTTTGTTGCTTACAAGCTTTTATCTTCTTAATCATATGGTTTTAAATTATCTTAATAATTAAATATTTATTATTGTCATACCCCATAATAATTCAAGCAATTTTATATTGGTTTTCATCCAAATATTGATGTTCAGTGCATTTATGAGTTTTATGCTTTCTTTAGAAGTGTTAATTTATTAGTTTATAGATATAATATATTTAATTAAACTCGCAGGAAATGAAAATCACTTCACTATAAGCATCATTTCTTTATAAGGGTGTTCACTATAAGCATGCTATACTGTATGTACTTGAAACAAACTGTCAGTGTCCAGCTAGCATTTTAGGTCTTGGTGGGGTCATGATGTGACCTAAATAGTTCTAGTGAACATGTTAGAATGAAAATTATGGTAGAGATTGAATTTAGAACATTGATTCAACAATGAAGATCTGAATATATATATGAGCAAATTTTAAGGACCATGATTTAGACTGCAGTTAATTTGATAAATACAGACATTTCCTTTATGTGACAGTTTGTTTATTTTTGTGGTCGTACTCCTTGTCACAGTTTAACTGTGGAATTAATTTTAAAAGGTTGATCTTGACATTAAATTTATCCGTTTGTAGAGTAGTAGAAATAAATGACACAAGTCACCTCCAACAGCTTGATCCAAGCTTAGTATAAGTTTAGGGGGATTGGGGGGGGGGGCTCTTTTGTGGATGCTCTTTAATATAGGTTATATTATATAGGTTATATTACATATAGTTACTTGCTTAAAACTACAGTTGCCAGGCACGTAGCTCTCCACCAGCAAGTGGTGGTGTCTCCATATGAGTGAAAAAACAAACGTAAACAATATATACAATTAAAAAGAAAAGAAAGCCAAAGAGAGAGCGGGAGAGCATGGACAGGCGTATATTATTTAAAGCGTTAAATATCATTTTTGCAAAATATTGGAAAATAATAATTAAAAAAATACTTAGAAACAATTTAGAATTAACAATAAAAAAATTAATGAAAATCTACAGAATCAGTTTAGGGGAAAATATGAGAGTATGTACACCTCACTGAAATCTGAATCAAAAGATTTTCCAGGATTTTGGTTTACTATCGAATATGGCAGAGTTTTTTTTCCAAGTGTAATTACATTCTTAAAGAGTTTCTCTATGGTAGATTTCACACTATAAAACCCCAGTTGGCTCTTTTAAAACAAACGATAATTTTATTTAATGCCTAAAATTTCAATTTCTATTACTGGAATGCCTAACTTCTGTAACAATATCCCCCCCCCCCCCTTCCGCCTTCAAAAAAAAAAACAAACTAATATCTGATTTGTGCGAGAATCATTATTCAGCTTTATATATGAACATTAAAAATCGAAAAATTAGTAAAATTTAGCTTTACCTTAAAGAAAATAACAAGTCCTCTCAAGTATTGACATCCGTGACACTACCTTAAAACATTTAGCATATACGAGGGCCGTTCAAAAATTACGTATTTTACAAGTTTTTTAAATGTTGCAAAAAGTACCAGATTTGTGAATATTTAGGTACATTCATTTTAAAATGTATACAATGTACATAGGGAATGTGCAAGAAAATGAGTTGAAAAGAATTCCTCTCTTTGTTATTTTAATCTTATAACGGCGTATTTTAATATTTCCGGAAATTTATATATTTTGACTACCAATAAAAGTACGAAAATGCTGTAAATTACACCATTTAAAAAAAATTCGTTATAAAGTTATCAAATTATAATTATTTATTATCCTGCAAGGAGTCTAAAATTGTTTTAGTTTTTCGTAAATCCACCAGCTTTTGGACATATCCTTTCTACTTTTAGATTGATAAACAAACCGCATTTTGTACAAGGTAAGCCCTATGAGATACAACTCACTTTTGACATGTGGCTGTAACAAATATAAAAATTTAAAAAATGCTATCAGTATCAAATATGCACATCTGTTATGACGCATATTAACCTTTTATTAATAATCGGGGTCAAAATGCAACGTGCCTCCTATAATTTCCCGTGGACATACGCGTCTACATTTAGACCTACTGTTTATGCACTTCCTGATTGCACAAATTAGTAAAAGAATAAATTTTTTGTTAATGCTTATATGGGTAGGTGGTTATGATATATGTACCTTGTTATAGTTAAATTTTGTGGAAATATTATTTTTTCATTACACCTTATGTGTTTCAAATCATTTATTAATCATTTTGTTTCACGTATAACTTTGAATTCTTTAATTTCTTCAAAAAAGATTCTATGCCTGTTTTGCACATTATTTCTGAAAATTTCATTAAAACCACTGTATTGTAATATAGGAATCTTACAAAGACTTGGTTTTTAAAAAATTGCACAAATTAGTAGTAAATAATTTTTTTGTTAATGCTTATATGGGTAGGTGGTTATGATATGTGTACCTTGTGATTTATAAACTAGTGTATATTGGTTGGGCAAGTGAAATTTTATCAAACACTCTCCCGTGGACAGGTGACTTAATCAATTATCAAAAATAAAATCAATATGTATGCCAATATTCTACTCAGTATTTTTTTTATATATATTTATAAATAAGTACAAGTTAATGTTTTGCACAAAAATTCAGGTAAAAGTGAATTTAAAACCACTGTATATTTGTGTTAACAGTGGTTAAAAAAAGTGGAAAATGGGTGTATAGCACTACCGAAAAATAAAGTTCTTTTTTTGGATGATTTAAATAATATTATTTTGAATGCATTCAACTCCTAGCTGACGCACATAAATGTCATTTAAGAAATTTTTTTTTAACCTAAAAAGAATTAACATTTAGATATTTTGTAAACATTGAAACTTACATGTGAGCACTAAAAGGTTTTTTTTTTCTTTATTGAAAAATAAACAACTACAAATTGAAATTATGTAATAACATGACGTTAACTGTGATATAGGGTGATGGTTTAGAAGGGAATCTTTGATATTTGATTACTTGTTTATTTACATGCAGAGGTACAGTTGTTGAATTTCTTGGTGTAATTTGATTTATTGTTGTATTTCTATAATGACATCTGAATGACGCAATGGTTTGACCTAAATAAGCAAGACTGACCTGTCAAGTTACACAAATATTTCATGTACTGCATTAAAAAAAAATAACATGTTTGTAAGAATTTCTTATTCTCATTTGTTCCAATGATAAGATAATTTCACATTTTCAGGCAAAAAGTGACGTATTGTAATTTGTTTTCCCTGTAAGCATTAAACAAAGTGTGGTATAAACTGTTATAATTTACCTGCGCTGCTTACCTGTGAGGAGATATATACGTGAGACTGTCATTCTCTCACCTGGTCATTCCGTTACTGCAGGCTCACCTGTGCAGTAGCTGGTGTAACCACAGAGTTTAAATAATCTGGTCAAGGTGTAACAAATTACCTAGGAGTTCATAGATTTTATCACTGTCATTGTGAAAGGTCAGTAATTAAAAGTATTAACCAGTCAAATGAATTTACAATATATGTAAAATGCATTTATTTTTGCCTTAGGATTAAGTAAATGTACATGTATTTTGTAAGTAGGCAATATTTAATCATGATAAGCAATGATTAGATTGCAGTAGTTGTACTTGCATATTTGCTATTAACACATAAATGAATGTACCTGCATGTTTAAATGTCATTGAGTAGTTTAATTGTTAACCCTGATGTACCTGAATTTTATTTAAAAAAAAAAATTTGCAAGATGCAGATAAAAAAAAAGTAAATTTAAGTGATCAAGAATTTCAAGGTGTTTTAGCTTTTAATTTTTATGCAGATCATTCAAAAGATTGTTGATGAATTATTCTTACAACACATGAATTATGAAATGATAATAAAAAAAAAATTAGAGGAATTTAATTTAATGCTATTATATGCATTAACAACTGAAAAAAGTTAGCAACACAAGATAAGGCTTAGTATGAAATGTCTTACAACTCAGTGGTACTTTTTGAGTCACTAGGGAGATAAGATAGGCATATATCAGTACATGATATAGGTCTGCATCGAAATTTGTCATTCCTCAAGTTTTGTTTTTTGGGCTGTCTGAAGTCTTTAGACATTTTTAGTGCACCATGTACTCTAGTATATTTAAGAATGCAGACTGCTTGAAGTTTATGAAAAATTTCAAGATTTTATTTTTTCTGCCATTTTGCTGTGAAAATAGAATGGAATTTATATAAAAAAATTCTCTAATTAAGACTAGATTAATACATACAGTATGTAACCATATTGGGCAAAATTAAACACACGAGTATATATCCATCATGTTAGGTATTGTTCTGTTCTGTCATACCATGAGGTCACTTACTGCTATTAAAGATGCAGGACCATCTAATCTGTAGGTATTTTTTGGATAAAAATAAGTTTTCCATGAACTTGACACAATTTTTTAAAAAATTCGAGGCCTAAAAATAGAAAACAGAAGCCGTGGTGATAACACATGAATTAAATCTACGCATACGAAAGAGTGCAGAAATTGTTTCGATCAAAACATAAACATTTTGTATCAAACTGAAGAAATTGATATGAACCTTTGTCTAACTCAACTAATAAAGTATTTTGATAATTTAAAACTGAAAATATTAACTGTAAATAACACTAGTAGACAAAGTACTATCCTGCGTATTATTATGACTGTGTACGCATCATCCATTGTTTACTTCCGGAAAAATTATTAGTTCGTACCTGATGAAATTCGGAGCAGTTCAGAAAGGTTTCCAGACTGAGCAATTATAAAAATTTCTACTTCAAATCAAATTAAATGAAAAATGTGAATGTATATTATTCATAGTTTTATTTTTAGTATGTTAATGAAAAAATAAAGTTGTTATTAAAACTCGTAAAAAAAATCACTTTTGTGAAATCTAGCATGAAGATTATTTTGACCCCGTCTTTCAGTACTATCTCAGTACTTTGATTATTTCAGTTTTGAAGTTTTGACTATAAGGTTCTTTATCCTTCTGTTCACTCATTTAATGCTAACAATTCTTCAGAAGTCCCATTATCTTGTAAATATTCATTACAAAAAGATTGCACAGTTTCAGCCCACCTTAAATCAGTGGGCAAAATTCTGAACAGAAGAAAATCAAGAAATGTCTTTGAACTTCATGATTTTATGAACTTGCCATGGTTAGTTATCCTTATCAGAGTTACCTCTCTTATCAAAGGGTTTTAATGAACCTTAATAAACATGATAAATCATACTTTAAAACCTTTACCAGTTAAGGTTTGGAATTGAAATTTTGAAAGTATAATTTTGGACCATTTTATTCTTTATGAAAGCTTCCTTAAAGTCCATTACAATCCGCTGTTCTTTCCAAAAAATTCTAAATTCCTTTTTAAGATTGAAAAAAAAAATTAATCAAATGATCATGAGTCTTAAATTAGCACTTTCTTAACCTGTCTTTTGCATTTCACAATTTGCTTTAAGAGAACTTAAATTATGATATTATATTTTCGGCAATGTCCATCTTGACTTTGACCTTTTAACCTTGACCTTTCTGTTAAAACAGATTTATTTTTCATGCATGTGAACAAGAGTTCAGCAGATAGTAAATCACCCACAGCCTTAATGCATGTGATTTAACAAAAGATGAATTAGTTTTACATGTAAAGGTGTCCCATTTATCTTCTAAATGGACTCCATGTCATTTGTTGGGGGGTCAGTTTTATGGGTCTATAAGCAGTTCCAGTGTGTAGAGCTATAATAGTTCATTGTCTTTCAGGTGTGATGTGAAAGAGAACATTTGTTAGAATTAATGTGAACTCAGACATATATATACATACAGTTTAACTTCAGTATCATGAACTCTATTATCTTGAATACCATTGATATGTTGAATTGATTTGGAAACCCCAATGTACTTTTTCTTTAAATATTTTACCTTGAATGTCTCAAATCTTTTTATATCTCAATTTTTTCCTCCAGTTCCATTGGGATCAAGATAATGAAGATTGATTGTATATACTGAAATCTTTTAAATATAAATACTATCAATTGATACCAAAAATTTAATCTAAAAGCTAAGGGAATCTGAATTCATAGGTCTTTTTAACATATCACTGCATGCATGCATATATGCATTTGTAAGTAAGTTAAGTTCACTTAATTATTCACATAAATTGATTTCTTTAAAGCTATATTACAAAGTATCTGTGAATCCTTTCATAGTGTAATCAATAATATCCCCTCATTTTTTGCAACTAAAATGTAATTTCCATTCACATTACAAACTAATCTAGTTGTCACTTAGTAACTTTGATCCAAATTGCTCATCTTCAAAATTCAAATAGAATGTTATAGGCCTGTAAGCTCTTGTCTTAGGAAATTATTCAGTTTTGATGAATTTTATATCACTGGGATATATCAGAAGGATTAATGGTTTCTATTCTCGTTGGTTGAACATGTATTGTTTGTTTAACAAAATCATAAATAACATATGGAAAGCTCATTAAATCAAAAATCATGGCTGGAGAAATTCTTGAGTGTGCATTGTAAAAGTCTCAGTTGCACAGAGCTGTTGTATGGGATAGATCAAGGTAGTTTAGTCTTTGATGTACAGATAAGCTGGATTTTAAGTCTGGCACAAAGTCCTGCACAAGTTATATTGTGGTATATATCACCTGGACTTTCTTTTGATGTTGATGTTCTTGGGTGCCATGAAGTACTTTGGTGTGTATTTTTCTGATTAAAGGACATTTATAAGTTTGATACAGAAGTATTAAGTAAGTATTTCCAATGTAGAGTCAGTTAGATTCAGTGTCCTTGAAATGGCAGTTTTCATTTAATAATCGAATTAAGCATTAATTGCAACAATTTACAGAATTATCATCGTCGGAAACCACGGGAGGTAAGAGAAGCGAGACCGACCGTGGGTTTCCGACGATGCAGATCCAAATTATAATAAATTTTTAGTAGATGCAGAGATGTGAAAAAAAAATTAACAAGCTCTTTATTGACTAGTAATTTTATTTTACATCTTAAGTTATTACATCTGCAGATATTTCTTAGTTCTAAATGTTTTAAAAAATGATACTTTTAGAAGTGGCATTGAGGTGCCTGCATGTCGTTAATGATATGTCATCTTAAACATGTTAAAATTGCCGGTGACGTGAGCGGTAACCTTTTATTGTGAGAAAAAGAAATGTCGGTGAACTTCAATTATCTCTGCTCAGTTTTATATTGAGTTTGATTTAATTTCCCTTCAATTTTTCATCAACTTGCAAGAATTTACATATCTTTTGTCAGACCAATATTATTAGAATGAACGCGAGACATGGAAGTCTTAATTAATAACATAATTCATATTTATAACAAAAAAATTCAATCAAATTAATACATGTATATTTTTGCAAACCAATTAATGATTAATTACAGACACTTGATGTCTTCATTGATAAAATATCTGTATGCTTTACTCATGATAATAATAATATTGTTATAGTTTAGGGATATTTTTATCAACGAAGAGATTAAAACATCAAGTGTCTGTGCAATTAATAGCAAATGTAAGTTGATTTTATCATGAGTCTAACAATCTCGTCATATCCTGTAATTTACACATGTTACGAGACGATGTACATGATGTAACAGCTAGCACTTAACTTGTGTGGACAGCGTCAGATACTAGAGTGGTCATGGAAGAGATAGGGACGTCTCAATATTATCTATTTACTTAATAAAATGGCTGATGTCATCTTCATGAGTTCACGGATGTATGTTGCATATAGTTTGTTAAGTGCACATAACTGAAACGTATAGCACAGATTATTTTATATTCATATTTATCAATAAACTTCTTCAAAACATTGATTGATTGACAAAAGATGAGATATGAGACATTAATTGAGTAGGATTGTGATCCACAGAGTAAAGGTCATCCTCAATGTGAAGGTCACACTGAGGAGGAAAATGGTAATGTACATTTAAATCTAGGAAAAACTGCTTATGAAGTATGTGTTATGTATGTATCTACATACTATAAGTGCACTATATACTCATAATAAAGTTATAAAATTTATTAAATTTCACTTCAGAAATTCAATATTTTCATGTTATTGGATGGTAAACAAAATAGAATTTTGACTGCTGATTGATGAATATAATTTCTAAATTTGCATTAAATGAATTTTCTAACTTGTGCTATCCCAAATTAATTTTGCGATGATTTAAAAGGATGTGTTTTCAGGTAATACAGTGCAAGCATGCTGTTGAAATATTATTTTCTGTAAAGTACATATGCTCAAAACAATTAATCTAAAATGTTTTCACTTCTTATTTTTAAAGGTAAGAAGAAGATGAGTTCTGAGGATGTGGAGTCACGGGAATCCCTATTGGAGCCGAACGGACAGGCCAAAGTGGTGGTGGAACGGCCCGTCTTCTCCCAGCAGAAATTTGATGAGGGATTTAGCCCGGGGTCGCGACCCCAAACCACATTTAAGGAAAGTCTCCTTAAGTCCTGCAAAAAGTGCCAATGTTCCAAAGACTGCTTCCTGAGTTTTCTGTATAGGATTTTCCCATTTATTGGAATCATGAAGGACTATAATATTCGTACGGATCTGACGGGGGATATCGTGTCTGGACTCACCGTGGGGATCATGCATATCCCCCAGGGTAAGGGAGATATAAATATAGCACAGTAAATCCTTCAGGCCTGTTAAGTTAATTCATTTAAATGTTCTATACATAAATATCATCTTTTATTCCCGTACATGATGTGTCAAAGTTAACACTGGCTATATTATACAAGATTTCAGATTACAGAATTAGAAAAGTTTTACTGTTTATACAAACTTTCAAAGTTAATTTTATGCAAATGAGATTTGAATACAATATTGTGTTGTAGGTATGGCTTACGGAATGTTAACCACTCTTGATCCAGTGTATGGCCTCTACACTTCATTTTTTCCTGTGATTATTTATTTCTTTTTTGGAACCTCCAGGCACATTTCTATAGGTAAGATATGGATGCCATTCATGGAATACTAAGGCTACTATAATCAATATATTTTATTTTTATGTTACTTAATCTACTTCTTTGTTACTAAGTCAGAAAACCATTTCAGTTTATTGCTATATTGGATTATTTCATTTTTTTTTAGCTCACCTGAGCTGAAAGCTTAGTGAACTTTTCTGATCAGCCATTGTCCATTGTCTGTCTTTCTGTCTATAAACTTTTCATATTTTTCAAGAACCACTGAACCAATTTTAACCAGTGAAGCGGGAGTTAAATTCATTTCTTTAAATAATGAGCCATTAAGCCACCCTTACAAGGAGAGATAATGGGCGAAGAAGAGGCAAAAATATTCACCACATCAGAACATTAATTGGCTCACAGACTTCTTGTTTTTTTTTTACTAAATAAAATAATTATAATTGTAGGTACCTTTGCTGTAGCATGTTTGATGATGGGCTCTGCCATTGAGAAAGGATTAAAGTCTCCAAATGTACATATTATTACGACATGTGTCAATGAATCCATCACCATGGTAACCACAAATCTGACCAATCAGAGTCTTCCCCTGTACACACTATCATGTAGTGACAACACAGAGTCTGTCAAACTGGAGATAGCGATGGCCGTCACTTTTGTTGTTGGTCTTATACAGGTGATTATGGTGTCCAGTTATCACAGTAAAATGAAATCTATTGATCGTGAGAGGAAAGAATTTTAAGGGGGAACAATTAACTCTTGGCTCACTGGGACATTTTATGCATAGTAAATGATACTGATTCAAAATTTCTAATGTATACAGAGGATGGTAATGAAAGTTAATTTCAAGCAAAATTAGAATTTATGTGGAAATTTTTCAGAAAAATCAGAATCATAATTTATTTTATATTTCATTATGATATACTTACTGAAGCATAAGTATTTTCTGGACACAGTAATCAGTTTATCTTTTCTTGTCCATATTACAAGACTAAATTGCATGTATAAAAAGTACTTTTTATTTTACTTTATGTAGTATACGTATATAATTATAGATGAACTAATTTCTATCAGTTGTTAACTGTCTATGTACCTTTTGTAGCTTTTGATGGGTGTGACCCGCCTTGGTTTTGTGACGACCTACCTCTCTGACCCCCTGATTAGTGGATTCACCACAGGGGCAGCTTGTCACGTGTTTACCAGTCAAATCAAACACGTGTTTGGAATCACAACTGACCGCTACAGTGGGGCTTTTAAACTTATTTATGTAAGTATAAGGGTGTGCATGTTAATTTAAGTATAAAAATGCCATTAATCAAAGTTGAAGAAATGAACAGCTATAAACAACTTTTACATTTAAGGAAGTTTTATCCCTTTGTGGGGTCAATCTAGGGTTAACCATCTTGGTTCACAGCTTTCCCTCTATAACATACGGCCATGGCTTACAAATTAAATTCTCATTTATGTTCTTTATGATTTTTTGTTTCCCCATTAATTGACATTAAGGAATGGTATAAAAATTGTTTGTAAGATACAAAGGAGACAGTTAGGTCTTAGATTTGAATCTGCATGATGAGGCAACCAATGCTTCAAATGAGACTGTATAAATCAAGGTTCTGTGTGTGTTTTAACAAGACAATCCTTCACTGCTTAAAAGCTGTAAATGGTGCATACAGATCTAAATTTGAAGCCCTCCACCTGCAACTGATGGCTTCTGAATATGATGGAAACATTTTCAAGGGATGAGATTTTTAATCGACAGACAATCAAACAAAGGATATAATGAGAAGATTGAATGTGGTGCCAACGAAGAGAGATAACTCTTAAGAATGTGAAAGTTGGCGATTGTCTGTTTGTCTGTTTATATGACAGAATTAGTCTCTATGATGAGGATGGTAAGATTCTGCACTCAGTTCACATTGACACTTGGAAAATATTACAACTTAAATGTTCCTGTGTTTGAAAAGATAAGAAAGTTAAAGAGCAGAATTAAATCTCCAGAAAGATGATGTACTGGTTGAGCCTTGATGTGCTTGTAGGGGGACATCGCAGCATTGCAGACATTTATTTTATTTCATTACCAATAAGATTAACTATTCTAATAAACAAATATTGTAGGAAATTAAGTAAGGAGTTACATAATTTTTCTACAAGATGGTATTTGCTAATGAAAGGAAATTAATTTATTTTATAGCCTCAATTTAAAATTTTCGCATTTTGTGTTATAAGAATATTACTCTCTATAATTAGTTTTCTTTTATGGTTTCAGACATACATTGATTTCTTTGGAAAATTGGCACACACCAATGCAGTAACCCTAATAGCCTCAGTACTGTGTATGGCAATGATCTACGTTGTGAAAGAGTATATCAACAATAATCCAAAGATTAAACCCAGACTCAAAATGCCAGTCCCTATAGAACTCATTGCTGTAAGTATATATTAATTATCATGTAATCTCGCGAGAAGCACCACTTGTGAAATAAAATTACTCGCTTTTATTTAAATGGTAATGAATTCAATGTAAAATCACTTGATCAATTGTCCACTCCAAAATTAATGTTCTCGCGATTTGTCATTAAAGTGCCATTTCACGATAAAAAGTGCTCACGAAAAATAAGGAATCTACAGTAAGAATTAACTGAAATCCCCAGGATCAATCTGCTTCACTCCATGGCATGAGCTCGTAAAATATGACAATATAAATCCTTGCAGGCTCAAAAGACTTGTTAGTTAAAGTGTACAGAATTTGTTGCTGTAAGTACTGTAGATTCCTTATTTTTTGCGAGTACTTATTATTGTGAATGAGTTCTTCAGCGTCAAATCGCGAGAATTTTACATAGATTTAAGCACCATTAAAATAAGGAGAGTCATTTTATTTTACGTGTGGTGCTTCTCACAAAATTACGCTATAGGGTAGGGTAGTGTAATTTCGACCACCTGGTTAATTTCGACCGTTCATAAATACCTTAATATATTTTGTTTATGGCGTATAATTTTGTATGTAAATTTATATTAAGCAGAAAGAAAAGGTATTTTTAATATATTGTGTCCAAAATAATTTGATTTCCATGAGCGTTATTAAGATCGTTATTGGAAAATTACACCAAAGAATAGGCTTTATCACCCGAAAAATTACAGACAAGTATATTTTTTGCCATGCACTATGGCGAACTATCACCTAAGAAAAATCTTCTATGGAAAGACAATCAATGGATATCCCATTTATCAAATATTATTTTTAAAAGGAAATTTATACCCTTTTAATTTATAGTATTCAGTTTTTACAAATTAAATTGCAAATCAGCTAAACAGAAATCGGCCGAAGTTATCCCTACATGAATACGGCGTCAGTGGGTAACTTCGACCAATGTAAAATGTAAAATGACGCAATTTACTATCTGTCACCAGAAAAAATTCATGACCGTCCGCAAAAAATATTAGGATTAGTATTATGTACATTAATATCTGGTAGAAACTAGTACTACAATAGTGAAAAATTTACATGCAGTTTAGATGCCTGTACATGTAGATTTGTAGAATGCCTTAAACAATTGGCAAATCGGCGTCATAGTCATCTGGTGCACTCGATGTCTTCTAATTAGTACATTTTGAAAATTGTTATTTTTTTGTCAGTATTTTTACTCGATCTTTTGTGCTGTACAGCAGAAAAATTTAATTTCATATTTTTTAGCTCTACTGGTCAGAGACCAGAAGAGCTTATGCGATAGTAATGCGTCCGGCGTCCGTCCGTCTGTCTGTCTGTCCGTCTGTAAACAATTTTTCAAAACGCTACTCCTCCTACAATTTTAGTCTGATTTCAATATAACTTGGCACACAAGTAGACTACACTAAGATACATAGAATAGTGCATCGGTTTTTAATTCCGATGAACGATGTTGCCATGGTTACTAAAAATAGAATTTTCTGTGAAATTCCTTTAAAACGCTACTTCTTCTACAGTTTTGGTCTGATTTCAATATTACTTGGCACACAAGTAGACTACACTAAGATACATAGAATAGTGCATCGGTTTTTAATTCCGATGAACGGTGTTGCCATGGTTACTAAAAATAGAATTTTCTGTGTAATTCCTTTAAAACGCTACTTCTTCTACAGTTTTGGTCTGATTTCAATATTACTTGGCACACAAGTAGACTACACTAAGATACATAGAATAGTGCATCGGTTTTTAATTCCGATGAACGGTGTTGCCATGGTTACTATAAATAGAATTTTCTGTGAAATTCCATAAAAACGCTACTCCTTCTATAGTTTTGGTCTGATTTTAATATAACTTGGCACACAAGTAGACTACACTAAGATACATAGAATAGTGCATCGGTTTTTAATTCCGATGAACGATGTTGCCATGGTTACTAAAAATAGAATTTTCTGTGAAATTCCTTTAAAACGCTACTACTTCTACAGTTTTGGTCTGATTTCAATACAACTTGGCACACAAGTAGACTACCCTAAGATACATAGAATAGTGTATCGGTTTCTGATTTCGATGAAAGGTGTTACCATGGTTACTAAAAATAGAATTTTCTGTGAAATTCCTTAAAAACGCTACTCCTTCTACAGTTATAGTTTGATTTCAAAATAAGTTGGCACACAAGTAGACTACACAAAGATACATAAAATAGTGCAATGGTTTTTGATAAGTACATACCAGTAGAGCTACAGTCTTGACAGAGACTTCTGGTTTTAACTATATTAGAGCTGATGCCAATTATTTCCTTTGTATTGTCCCATCGGTCGAAAATACCCCGTGTGCGGTCGAAATTACCTAACACACATTTCTTGTAAATCAAACGCATTTATTTCATATTATGACCAAAAATATATACAAAATCTATGTAATCCAAAAGATAAAAGGTATTTCGAATGTAAAAGGGTCCAGTAAAAGTTGTAGCATAACATAGCAGTGACATACTTTAACAAATCTTAAGTACAAAAATATAATCGGTCGAAATTACACCACCCTACCCTAATTAAATCCATGTCTATAATTAGGAATCTATGGTATTGGTAATGTTGAGACCTCAAAATTCAAGTTCCTATAAAATGCATTGATGTAAATGCTGATAATGTAGACCAAGACCCCAAATATATCCCTACAGAACTTGTAACTGCATGAGTATTCATATTCTACCCCCAGACTCAAAATGGCTATACCACGGTCCCAGTAGTACTCATTGCTGTATATACAGAAAATATTTTACAATATGGCATTTATGGCAAATTCAGCTGACTGTAGAATCATTTCAAATCATGGAGAGTCAATTTTTGTTGGTTCATGGGGACATTTTTTCATGCTGTCACTGGGTAACTCATATTTTTAGAAGATTCAGTGAATGAATATATTCACAAAAGAATTTTTGGGATATAAATTGGTGGATAAGACCCATTAAAGGCAAAGAATGGAAAAGATAAATTGGTGGATAAGACCCATTAAAGGCAAAGAATGGAAAAGATTCTCTTTTCTGAAGGATATTAATTTTAATTTGTGAAAAAAATCTACAGGTCATGAGTATATACTATATATATGATATTGATAATGGAAAGCTGTGTCCTATAAACAAACTTTAGTTCAAAGCATTAGAAAATGAGATGAATCAGTTCATATGTACACTGTATGCTTTGTATCTAGTACATTGTAGCATATAAAATCTTTCTTAATCTGTCATTTCAATTTCAGGTAGTACTAGGAACTGTGATATCCTACTTTGTAGATATTAACAACAATTACGGAGTCAAAATAGTCGGAGATATTCCCACAGGGTATGTGATCATACGATGCATTATTGTATAAATATTAAAGAATTATTTCATTTTATTCATTTGTTGGGGAAAAAAATTGCTGATTATACAGTATGACTTTTTCTCACTTTGGTGAGCTAATATGAGATTAGATTGATAATTCTTATGATTGGTACATTTGTGTTTGACAACTCCTGTAAATTTTTGAGAGATATTTACTATCAATTAAAAATCTTTTTGACTTTAATCTTCAGACTTCCTGTACCCACTGTGCCAAACTTTTCCCTGATGCCTGATGTGATCTCTGATGCCTTTGCTTTAGCTGTTGTTGTATTTGCTATCTCTGTATCTATGGGCAAAATCCTAGCCAGGAGACATGGATATGAAATCGAGTCCAACCAGGTATTTATAAACTGAAACTAGTCACATACATACATACAGTTGTAATGTGTACTCTAGAAAAATGTCTATATTAAACAAACAAAATATGTTAAGCCTAAATCATGTAAACCATTTTTTTTTTAATATTAAGTTTTTGAAAGCACTTCAGTGTTACAAGTTCTTGAAAATTCTGAATATTTGAAAAAGGCACAAAAATGGATGCACTAGGGAAATTACACCAATTGTCTGTTTCTGCATGGTTTTTAGTTGCTGTATGTTGAGGACCTCTATATGCAGACGTCAACATATTGAGATGTAATGTACAAACGTTTCTTCATTACAGGAGTTGATTGTCTATGCTATAACTAATGTTGGCAGCTCTTTTTTTCATTACAGGAGTTGATTGCATATGCTATAACTAATGTTGGCAGCTCTTTCTTCATTACAGGAGTTGATTGTCTATTAGGGCTGTATCAATATATCGATATATCGATACGTATCGATATTCAAGAAAAATATCGTATTGAAAAATAACTTCCAATAAGTATCGGACATACCATTTTTAGCTCTACTGGTCAGAGACCAGAAGAGCTTATGCGATAGTAATGCGTCCGGCGTCCGTCCGTCTGTCTGTCTGTCTGTCTGTCTGTCCGTCTGTCTGTCCGTCTGTCTGTAAACAATTTTTCAAAACGCTACTCCTCCTACAATTTTAGTCTGATTTCAGTATTACTTGGCACACAAGTAGACTACACTAAGATACATAGAATAGTGCATCGGTTTTTAATTTTGATGAACAGTGTTTCCATGGTGACTAAAAATAGAATTTTCTGTAAAATTCCTTAAAAACGCTACTCCTTCTACAATTTTGGTCTGATTTCAATATAACTTGGCACACAAGTAGACTACACTAAGATACAAAGAATAGTGCATCGGTTTTTGATTTCGATGAACGGTGTTGCCATGGTTACTAAAAATAGAATTTTCTGTGAAATTCCTGAAAAATGCTACTCCTTCTACAGTTTTGGTCTGATTTCAATATAACATGGCACACAAGTAGACTACACTAAGATACATAGAATAGTGCATCGGTTTTTGATTTCGATGAACGGTGTTGCCATGGTTACTAAAAATAGAATTTTCTGTGAAATTCCTTTAACCCCTTCACTTCCGTACCGGTCAAATTGACCGGTGGCGCGTTAAAACACGACTTCGCGAAAATAAGATCTCCGTATCTATTTTGTGGTAGCATGAAGGTATATAAGCTATATATCATCTTTTTGGAAATTTTCTCTACTTTTAAGATATCTAAAAAGATTATATCTTGATAGTCAGTATTTAATCGATTTTACGTTGTAAAGACAAACGAGACTTTTTGAAAATGGCGTAATTTTCCAAAGCGATTGTCGATTTTTAAGACGATTGTCAATTTTTTTCCTGATTAACTTTATTTGAAAGCATGGTATATTCTTAAAGCATATTTTCTCTACTTTTCAAATATGTAAAAATTATTGTTATTACTTTAAGGTATATTTTAAAAACAAGAATTTTCTTGCACTTGTGTGTTTTTTCTCGATTTTATTCGTAATATTTAAACAAAGCTCAGTTTTACGTTTATTTCTGTGTTGAAATAGGGAAAACAAAATAAAGCTGGTAAAAGTACAGAAAATTTCCTTTCCAACAAGCCCTTATAGGCCTTCTTACGCTCAGTATTTTCTTAATTATGATAATTTGAATTTGTGACCTTCGCATACTTTTTATGGAAAAATCGGTCAATATTTACATGTAACGTCAAGGTCGATATTGTTGCGTATTACTCGAAACAACAAATTCTTTTATAAGACTTTTTTGACCATTTAAATATATTTTTTACTGAAATAAATGCATAATACAAAAAAAAAATAGATTTCAAAAAACAAATTATACTTTCGTTCTGCCTTTAGTGTTCAGTGAATATTGATTTATTCATCTACATGTAAGCCCTAATGATGTATTTTTCATGAAGTGATAATACAATATTGATAAAAATTGTAGATTTCCGAAACGTCGATCTTTACTAAAAAAAATCAATCAGATTTTTAAAATATTGTTGTATCTTCTTATACTGTATACTTATTAATTTGCAATTTAATTAGATCTATATTTTAACAATACAAAAACTCGTATTTATTTATAAATAAACTGTATCACTGTATGAGTTGATACGAATTGAAATAAACACGTGTTTCCGCTGTGATAGCTGTAAACAAAAACATGATCCGAAATCTGAACGTCAATTTTCATGATTATTTCACGACGAAGATCCTCACATCAATGAATCAAATAATACGGACATGCCTTTGGTATTAGCAGGTGAGAATACGTGTATATTGACTGAAAAGTTTAAGATTAAAACGCATTAGTTCACGTTCAAAAGAAAACTAAATGTACACATGTACTAGATCTTTATGTTTCAGTGTGCGTGTTTCGTATCGTTCAGCCAATTCTGCATTGTTTTTGAACTTTGATGCTTTTGACAATCACTCGTAAGTTCAAAGTAAAATCAAAGTTGTCATAATAATGGATAGTTGTTTTCAGTATCAATGTACCAGTGTGTACATGTACAACTTTCACATTGAAATTTTAGGGTGCTTTCACCATATGCAACAATACTTTCATCTGTGAATACCCACTTTCTAAGCCCACCATGAACTACGAAGGTCAATTAATATGTAAGGACACCAATGAACAGGTAAATTTTTGTTTTGGTATTGAAAATTTCTGTATTTTTAAAATTTCAAAAAATAAAGTCTCATGATATCGCATTCATACAAGTTTATAAACATTTGATTTATATTTTGAAAAAATAAGTGTTTCAAACACATAATACTTATGATGCTTGATTTTTCATACAGACACATTATTTAAACATGTAATATCTATCTGAATGAATGCCGAGATATGGAACAAGCTGTTTTTATAGACTGCTGTTGTATTTCCAATCTGCATAAAGTATGTGGTTAGCATTTCCATTTTCTCAATTTTTCAGACACTTTCCAATTATGGTACATCATATACATGGGTGGTCAAACTCACTGGATGGTTTATCAACACTCCCATGCTCACGAACAGCCTTGCCCCAGGAATTTTGCCCTGAAGTAACATTGCAGTCTATTGTCACCTTTTTTTTACAACCCTGGCAGCCATGCAGGTATGAAATCTATGAAAGCCATGAAGGGACATAGAATTTTTAAAATTTATAAAAGTAAACCGAGTTCTTGATTTATACAATCCGTTCTCTCGGATTGACAATCTGTTATAACAAATTGCCAATTCATTCTCACAGATTATCAATTTGTTCCCTCAAATTACACAATCCGTTATCTCAGATTGTATAATTCATTCTCTTAGTTTAAATGATTCATTCCCTCGGAATGTAGCATGATTTCGTTTAAATTATTTATCTGTACATGTTGGATATGGTAATACATGTTTAAAAAATAAAATGTTGTAGTATTTTACATCCTAACTTTTATTACATATTACGGTCCAAAATGAGAAAAATACATGAACATTTTCAAATCCATGTGCTAGTACTGATATTTGTACAACAAAAAATCTTAGAGGTTTTTGTGTTACTTGTATATTAGAATAATTGAAAGTCCTAGATAGTAAAAGTGAATATGGGTCCTGTGTAATCATAATATTTCTAAAATAAATATACGTTGAATTAGTTATGAAAGAGGTTGGAAACGACCGGTTGCTGAAACAAAATAAATAGAACGCACTTATTGATTAAAATGGTTGGATGTATCTGTACATATATGTAATGAAATTCAAATTATGAATCAAGGGGGCGAATTAGTAATCCTTAAGATCGGATTGTGTAATCCGAGATCTCATATTATAAATCGAGGGAACAATTTAGTAATACGTGGGATTGGATTGTCTAATTTGATTCGATATCATTTTTTACTTTTTTGAAAAATTTACATGTCCCTTCCTGGCTTTCGTAGCAATCTAATGCCAATTTTTTTTTTACATGTTGCGATAGCGTAAACAGAGGTCTGGCTTTAGTCAGCTTGCCATATATGCTATTTCTTTTAGTTCAGTAATTTTACCATGACGGTTTACTACAAGGTTGTTGAATTATCAGTCCTGATACATTGACTTAACAATATCATTTAACTACTTGGATCACATAATAAATACAATTTTAATTTTAAAAGGAAAATCAAATAAATGTAGTAATTTTAGCATTCTTAATTTTATTTATAAATATAAATTTATATACACAATGACATGTATCTGTTTCAAAATACTTAAATCTTTTACAGGATAGAAGCTGATCACTTGTACTTGACAGCAAATAATAATGGACAAGTCAAAGAATTTCCTCCAGTCTTACAGAGAAATGACAGTTGATAAAAGAATGGTGGACACAAAGTAAAAGTGCTCTTCAACATTTTGTTGAAGATTTCAGTCTGATTTGGAATTCATCTTGCAATATTTCTGGATTTGTATATTTGGATATAAGCGTCAAATTTTCAACTTATTGACTAAACAGTTATGTGTTAAATATTGCCAATGCTATCTATTATTATTATTTCCCTCCAAGATAATATGTCAAGTCTTTATTGTACCCCTTAAGCTCTGTTATACCAGAAAAATCTTGTAATGAAATCATTTAGTTTTTTTTTCTTGTTTGATTAAATCCATGAAAATAAAGATTATTTTAATTGGCGTCAAGAGAATGGATTTATTGTTTAACAAAAAGATAGTATACATGTTTTGCTAGGGCTTTGTAAGAAGCAGACCAGAATTCTTTGCTTGCAAATTTTGTCGTTCGCCATTTTTATTGCGTCAACTATTAGATGATTTATCCATGTTTGAAGCATTTCATAATTGATATTTACTTACAGTTTAAAGCAGAATTCTGTACTGATATGACCTTGACCCCCTGAAGAACAAGAGTGTCAAGGTCAATTTTTAATACAAAAATGTTCTTTCATCTTTCTGGCCCATATCTTACAAACAATATGATGAAATATACAAAAAGTGTCTAGAATGTGTCCAGAATGTGAAATAACAAACATGTAAATAGCCAAAAACTTTAAAATGATGTTGCTTAGCAACCACTTAAAGGTCATTAAACAGATATTTGAACTAAAATGATGCATGGATATTGCAGTTCTGATCCCTTCTTGAGAGTATATTCAGAATTTTCCATTTCAGCATCCATTGTGTAAAATTATGGCAAGAATATTGAAAAGTGTTGAAAAAAATTGATGAAACTTTTGCACTTATTTGACCTTTGACCTCCTAAAAATAGTTCTAATGAGGTCAGACTTTAAGACAATTTATCTGTTGTATGTCCCTTGTAATTTTATGACCTCACATCTAACTTTTATATGTGCTGGGATGCATAAATGTGTCTAGGATGAGTAAAAAATGTAAATTTCTGCCCGAAAATTAAAGAATTCTGCGTTGCTTAGCAACCCCTTTTAAGTAATTATATGCAGAATTGAAAAAAAAGTTTATGTGTTTCATGTAGTACATTATAATGCTCTTTTGTGGGTATATCCCAAATTTCCTATTTCAACACGCATCATACTTAATATTTAGCTTAAACATGAAAAAGTATCAAAAAATCCCATAAAATTTTGCACTTAATTGACCTTTGACCTCAATTTTTACTAATAAGGTCAGTGGTTGAGTATCTAAACAGTCATAAAATATCATCTGTAAGAAATTTCCTACAACATGGTATGCATTATGCCTAGCTTTCCCCTTGGATAAAAAAATTAGAAATAATTTAATAATGCCATGTCAACAGGCCTCCAAAATCACGTAAAATGCGCCGGAAGAGAAAGGGTTAAAACGCTACTCCTTCTACAGTTTTGGTCCGATTACAATATAACTTGGCACACATGTAGACTACACTAAGATACATAGAATAGTGCATCGATTTTTGATTTCGGTGAACGGTGTTGCCATGGTTACTAAAAATAGAATTTTCTGAGAAATTCCTTTAAAACGCTACTCCTTCTACAGTTTTGGTCTGATTTCAGTATAACTTGGCACACAAGTAGACTACACAAAGATACATAGAATAGTGCATCGGTTTTTGATTTCGATGAACGGTGTTGCCATGGTTACTAAAAATAGAATTTTCTGTGAAATTCCTTTAAAACGCTACTCCTTCCACAGTTTTAGTTTGATTTCAAAATAAGTTGGCACACAAGTAGACTACACAAAGATACATAAAATAGTGCAATGGTTTTTGATAAGTACAAACCAGTAGAGCTACAGTCTCGACAGAGACTTCTGGTTCTTCTAATTCTGTTAAAAAGATGGGAATTTCAATCACTAAAAATTATATTTCTTTTTTTTGAAATAAAACTGTTCAATAATTATATAATTTGTAAGGAAATAACACAGTTATTTTAATTATTACAAAATACAAAGAGAATTTTATTTGAACATATTGATTTTGCTGTCATTAATAGTTTTAATTTGAAGTATTATTTGTAATGACAATGAGACAAGAACTTTAAAATGGGTAATAAAATACTTAATTGTTATGAAATTTATGCATCAAAATGATTCATTAACCTTTTCTGATGGATTTGTTTTAGAGTCCAATATATCGCATATCGCTTTAAAAAATATTGTATCGTATCGTATCGAAATTTTTGGTTCAATACACAGCCCTATTGTCTATGCTATAACTAATGTTGGCAGCTCTTTTTTCATTACAGGAGTTGATTGCCTATGCTATAACTAATGTTGGCAGCTCTTTCTTCTCTTCATTCGCATCTTCTGCTTCCCTGTCAAGGAGTCTCATTCAGGAGCATGTAGGAGGAGTCACTCAGGTCAGTTGCACAGGGTCAGAGGTCAAAGGTCACATTGTACAAAATGTATAACTATCTACAATATCAATGATTTTATGCTCAACATTTCCTTAAAGGAGAGTATCAGATGCACAAACTTACATACTGATTTTAACTTACTAATCTATGTACAATGGTCAGCTCTCTTGTTTCCCCCTCTGATATACAGTATCTGAATCATGGTGTATTAGAGATAGACCTGATTGATTGATAGCGACTTACTCACCCAGTAGAGTTATGTTCTTCTTTTCTCCTTCCACAGTTGACTGGGCTGGTATCTAGTGCTCTGCTCCTCCTTGTACTTCTTGTATTAGGGCCATACTTTAAAACTTTACCCAAGGTAAGCTCTAAAAATCTTTAAATCTTGTGAAACACATTTTAGCACAAACAAATCCACGAAGGTTTCTTCACACATAAATTGTAGCACAAAGCAATTTTCCCCCAAATATTCAGCCTTCATACTGTGTGATTAAATATCACTTTGATATCTTTCACATTGAGACAGACTATCACTTTTATTCCATTATTAAATCAGAGTATTTCACTAAAATGAAAATGTAATAAATCTGTTTATTTCTTACTTTTCAGTGTGTTCTGGCAGCAATCATTATTGTAGCTCTAAAGGGGATGTTCCGTCAGTTCCTGGAACTTCCTAAACTCTGGAAATTGTCCAAAATTGATTTTGTAAGTTAAAAGTTCTACTTGCAGTGGAGCCTTGTTGATATGGATGTTTCAGCTATTTTGTGATTTTCATGGGAATCAATTATACTCATATACATGTATCTATGTATACTAGATGAGTTTAAGTTATTTAGATAATTTATCTTGAAGATTTGCATGGGAACTAAACCGTCCATTTTACATAGGCTCAACTGTAATTTCTTGGTGTTATCTTTTCTGGTACATTGATATTTATGTGAACAGACTATTGATATATCAATCAGCTTTATAAAAAATACTCTATCTCTGATTACAATGAAACTCCATATTTGTTTACAATATAATCTTATCTATAATTACAGTTGATCTGGATCCTGTCTTTCCTGGCCACTGTGATATTAGATGTGGATCTAGGACTGTTATTTGGAGTTATTGTAGCTATATTCACTGTTGTATATAGGGTACAGAGGTATGTAGTATTATATGAATAAGCCCACAGTCTCTTTACATGTTTGTTTTCTACTTCTTATAAGTATTAGATTAAAAAATTTTAATTGTTTGAATTTCAAATTTTCTTTTAATTAACGGGAGATTTATCAATGGCCCTTAAATATTTCTCTAAAAGTTTTCAATCTGGAGACTTGTCTGAATAGATTTGAAAAGTAATTGACAGTATTCTTTCTCTTTCATTGTGTATAAATGATACTTATAAATTTTCAGACCTTATGTATGTGTGATGGGGCAGATACCAGGGACTGACATCTACAGAGATATTTCTGTTTACAAAGAGGTAAGGCCAAAAAAAATTAATAAATAGTTTCTCAGGCCAAAAAAATCAAAATCCAATGCGGCAGGCAGGCTTTTTTTTTTTTTTTTTTTTTTTTTTTGGAAGCAGGTTTTAAACCTTTAAGTCATTGTTGAATAAAATGATAATAATCTACTAATTCTCAGTTTTTGTTCTCTGAAATTAGTTATAATATATATTCAACTTTGAATAATGTTATTCCAAACATTCCTTTAAAAGTTAATTCATAAAATACTGTCAATTTAGAAGTCTAATAAAAACGTCTACCTTAGCATTAATGAAAAGGGGATTAACTCGATTTTCTTCTTCAACTTGGAAAAATAGAAAATTGGGTTATTTCCCTTTTCAATATATCAATAAAATTGATCCATGCGGCCGTTTTTGAACTGATGCGGCGGTGCCTGAGAAACTATTGATTAATTTTTTTTGGCCTAAACAAGACTTAATTAAATCTAAATTACCATGATCTTCTTGGAAGACTTCTTTTCAATTTTTTTTTATACAGAAAGTGTATTTCTATTTTTCTAAAAACATTTTTTTTATTCTTTTATCTACTTGTGTTAAAGTTTTATTTATAATAAAGCATTTGTTGGAAATTTTTTTGACTAAAAAGACTTTCAATTCAAAATTCCATTTTCAAAAAAAAAAATATACATTTTTTTTTCAGGCACAAGAAATTCCTCGTGTAAAGATTTTCCGGTTTGAAAATGCCTTATTTTTTGTGAGTGTGGAACATTTTAAAAACAGTCTTTTTAAGTTCACCTGTAACCCACGGCATGTGAAACAGGACATGGAAACAGCTAGGCATCGCATACAGAAAGAGAAAGACAAGTTTGACAAAATAACATTCAAGGTACATGTAATAAACTCTTCATTTGTTAGCATATCAACTAATCTAAATTACTTAAAAAATACATGTAACCGTGTAGTTTTGTTGTTATTAGTTAATGTAAACTTAAATTTAAAGGAATGAAAATAAAAATTACAAAATATAATCTATATATATAACTTGCCTTATTTCAGTAACACTTTTGCCCACATTCCTAATTTTACATGTAAATATTTTCATCAGTGTTAGGTGATTTTGACAGTTAATCATCACTTAATTTGTTAATGGTAAAGAAAGTAATCTAGTAGATATTGATGGTAATTATAAAAAAAATCTCAGGAAAAAATATGATTTTTCAAACTCAAGGAATCCAAGTTAACTTGAACATGACAGAGTTATCTTTCCTATATAGTGTTAAGCTAATATTGGTATGTTACTATCTTCTGAGCAAGATTTAGATAATATTGAACATGAAGAAAAAAAAACTAATTTTGCTATTTATTAGGGCCCCGCAAGGATTTGCGGGTGCCCTATAGTAATCACTCTGTCTGTCCGTCTGTCAGTCTGTCATTCTTCCGTCCACAAATTTTCTGTTTTTTTCTAATAACTTTTTTTATGGTTGACCAATCAAGTTCAAATTTGGTATGGTTGTTCAGTAGGCAGAAATACATATTTTGATGCTAAGTTTGGTTCTCTATGTCTTCTGGTTTGGAGCTGGGGTGGTGGGGTAGATGCCTTAACTATGCATAATAGTGAATGGGCAAAGAGAGGTAACTCCTGAGAATGTTGCCATTGTAAACTGGGAAGGCTGTGCAATTGTCCTTTGGGATTAATTAACCATCCACATGAAGAAAATCTTAAGCATTATCTTTATCTGTCACATTGAGATTAATTACTGTATCGCCTTTGTCTGCAAATGAACTTTGTTTTGAAGTTAAGGTCGATTTTGAATGATGTGTACATTCTCTGAAATATGAATTTGAAATAATGTTCATACTTTATTTTGGTTAAAATACCGTACACAATGATTTATGATAATTTTATTGAATTCTAAAATCAAGATATATATATTGTATATTAAGATATCTTTATTTATTATAACTACTTTATTTTTTTAATTACCGGTATTTTTTTTTTTTTGGCTGCCTTAATGCTGTTAATTTTAACAGGTAATCAGATAATATCCCCATTCTGTCAGTGCTGAAAAAAGTTTTTATTGTAAATTTAGAAGAAAAGGATGAGAGAGCAATACAATTAATCCCCTGGGATTAATTATCTTGCTTGCTGCAGAAAATTTAGAGGCTTATCTTTATCTGTCACATGAAGATTAATGAACACCTCTGTCTGTAATTAACTGATGTTTGTTTTGAAGTTGAGGTCAACCCTGGGTGATATTTGCATTCACTGAAGGATTGCATTTTATAAAACACCTGCTTAAATCTTTTTTAAATACACATTTAATTTAGTTTTTTTTTTATAAGACAAGAGGTTTTCCGTGTTTTATGTAAATACAAGGTTACTATTTACAGGTTTTTGGACATTCAGGAATTATCTTGAAATTTTAAAAATACAGTTGTTACTTATAATCTTCATATATTGAAAAAAAATGTAATGAAGTAAAACTCTCATTCAATGAGCTGCACCCTTATATTTCTACCCCTCAGCGGGGCCCTTGCTGACTAGTCAGTTTTCTAGTTGTGTGAAGGTACTGAGAAAACTTTAATAATATCTTGTATATATACAGAATTCCACTGATGAGGTTGAGCTGGCGGTGAATGGGAACGAGACCCAGATTTCAGAATTCCAGTCCTCCATTGTAGAACCACAGGTCGACTTTGACACAATCATCTTTGATTGTTCTACATGGAGTTTTATTGATGCCATGGGCGTGAAAGCCCTCACATCAGTAAGTGTTTTAAGGGACCTATTTTTTTTATCTCTTCTTTTACATATAATGCTTCAGTATAATTGGCCCATGCTTTTATTATAATGTACATAATATATATACTGTGTATATATTTTTGTTATGAATTAATTGTTCTATATTATTAATCAGACATAAGATTGATATTTTTCTACAGATAAAAAAACATACATGTAATGTCAATGAAACGATTTTCTTCAAATTGCATAATATTTTTTATTAATTCTTCCAGGTTGTCAATGACTTTCGTGAAATTGACATTAAAATTCACTTGGCGTTTTGCAAAGGTAAATTTTGTAACACTTACATGTAAGCTAAAAAATTCAAAGATTTTTAAACTTTACTTTTCTTTGTGTACATTTCACAATTGTTTTTAGTGTTATTTTAAAGAGAAAGATTAATCCATTTAGTGTAAATGTCTCTTAGACATAATTTTTATATGAATTGACTTACATTTTGTCAGCTGGAATTCGAGAAATGCTTGAGAAGACGGGTTTCTTTAGTTGCTTAGACCGACACAACTTGTTTGTAACAGTACATGATGCTGTTCTACACGCTCTACACCAGAAAGCTAATGGAGTAAGTTATAAATAGATTAATTTGACGTTTAACTTTGACAAGATGGCTAATTATAAAATACGGAGTTGAAAAAATATAACTTAAACGTTATCATGCAATGTTGAAGGGCAAGGACAATAGTTTGCAATTTTCTATGTAGGATTAAATATCCCAGTACGTAATGGAGCTAAATGGGTACACCTTTGCTGTAATTAGTTGTTTAATTGTTGTAAATGATTTATCAGGATGTTGACTCGGACTCACCACAAGATGGCGCTCCAGACTCGGTAGCTGTGCAGTCCACTAGCAGTGGGAGTGAGACCGATGATAAATCGTGAGGTTTACAATGTTTCTATATGTAACTGACACAAATTCTGGTCAAGAGATCAACCCTGTTCAATCTCAGGCATTATCAAACTAACAGCATTCCACCCAGCCTTTGTGTGTATGTCACATGCACAAACTGAATCAGCTGGTCTAGGATGATTATAGGAGTATTTCACACCGTTAACGTTGTATATTCAGCGATGTAGGATGTAAAGCTAAAAATTTATATAATGCTGGGATCTCACCATTTTATATTCAACATGTGTAATGTGTGCCATTTTGATATTCAACTGTGTCAAAATCGGTTTTTCATTGATTTGATGTTGGGTTTTAGAAATGGTTTCATTTTTTCTTCAGTTCAATTCCTTTTATTTTAGCACTTTTCATTTCCTTTTGTATAGTAGTTAGACTACAAGTATGTGCTGTGAACTGAGAATGAAGTCATTTCACTCAGATTTGTGAACTGAAACTTCTCACTTGGTAAAGTTCTTTTTTTTAGTACATCACAGATTATTATTTGAATCTTGTTGTCATAATCTAATAATCTCCATGTTAGGGTGAGCCATCAGAAGAAAGGTGAATTTGCAATTGTTATGAATGTTTTATAAACATGTTTCTGTTTTGTTAGAACTTGTACAGATTTTCTTGTATGCAGTGATGTAACTGTTAAATATTTTCAGGTGACAATGATGCATTTTTTTGTGAAAATCAATGTTCTTTTTCTATAGATTTTTTCCCTCTATATATGCAATATTATTTACAGTTTGATGTTTGAAATATGCATGTGTCTGTGATCATTTTATTTAAGGTTTTATGAGTTCCTAAGTGTACACAGTGGATGAGCTCAAACATTGTATTGTTCTTCATGAAATAGTACTACATGTATGTACTACATATCCATAAGTCTGTGTAATTAATGATTGCTTACCACTGCATTTTACGGTAAAACTCGGTTATAACGAAGTCATGGGGACCTATGAATTTACTTCGCTATATCCGTAATTTGTTATATCCAAATAAGAAATACGTTCAATTTATATAGCTGGGGATCCAAAACAACTTCGTTATAACCGTGAATTCGCTATATCCGTGTTCATACTAAACAAGTTTTGTTGTACACTCTTTACTTTGAAAATATTGGCAGTGTTTTATCACTTTGTTGTTAAACTCAAAGGGAATCTGTATGAAAATGTAATAACCTGTGAGAAATATATATATTTAGACAAAAACCAAGGATTTAAAAAAATCCAGGCTCTAATACTATTTGAATATTTCCTCTCAATTGCCGGTAAACATACCTTCTTACACAATGTTTTATTTTCCTTTTTTGTCTTTCAACAAATTTGATGCTTTAGAGAGTAATTGACTGGGTGCAGTGACATAAAAATTATCTCTGATTCCTAAATTTTTACATCACACACTACTGTAAAATTTCAAGAATATTTCATAGAGAAAGCAGAAGTCAAGCAAGTATGGTAATAGAGGAAATTAATTCCATAACACCTGCTTTTAGTTTCTCAAGTTAGAAAAATTCAGTACATTGTAACTTGCAAGGGTTTTAGAGCATATGTCTTTATTGTGTTTATTGTTTGTAGGTTTAGTGAAATTGGTACATTATTTTTTTGTAAATTATTTTTTTAAGCAACATTTTTTTTCTTTATTGTACATGAATATGGATTTAAACTGGGCTCTGAGAAATTTGTGATTTTTCATGACACAATTGTAGAGGGTGTGGAAAATGTAAGATTTATGAGTATTAAATATTTATGTACAATGTTAAGTTTAGTTATTCTGAGTTTAACTTTCTGCTTTGTTTTTTTTTTTCCATTCCAGTTTGAAACATTTGCAAGTCGAAAAATTTTATTGTTGTGTTTTTAAGAGGTATTTTAACCACATTATATATAACCATTATCCTCTGTATACATGAATTTATTTTTTCAAAATAAAGGTTGTCATCACATGGATATTGTTTTTGTAAGATAGGTATTTAATGCAAAGATATAGAAGTAGACAGACAGAAATATACTCTCACAGTATCTTGGAAATCCTCAGTAGAAATGTGCATATTACTGTATTGGAATCAGAAGTTTCATTATCATTTAAAAATGTTTTAAAAAACTTTAGGTTTGGAATGACATTTCAATAAACAATGCTGTAGATATAAAAAAAAAAACTCCAAAACAAGTATTTCTAAAACACTAGCCATATGCTATCCCTGATCCCCCCTGAGTAGTTTTTTTTTATAAGCACAGCTTTTCTGAACATCTGTTGTCCAATGTTTGGCTGTCTAACTGACAGTTAACACAGTGACTTAACATTTTTAGCTTCTCAATAACCACAGGGTCAATTTAAACTAAAGATAAAAACTATAGCTCTAGATACAATTTCTCAAAGCATATGTGCAAAAACACATGTCTGGATGTTAAGATGCAGTAGTTTTTTTGCATTCAAGATCAAAGGTCCATTAAACAATACAAATTTTGGAGCAGAGCAAAGACAGACCTTTAGAACATCAAGGATAGGATCAGGTGCTTTTGAGGAGTGAGCATCCTCTGCAAACTGGTCATACCCGTCATATGCTCCTTGCCATGATCGGGAATTAACGGGAAAAAAGTCATGTTTGTACGTGAAAGGAATGAAGAGGGGGTGCTTTTTCTACTGTGATCAATACTCATTTCTTTAAGCATGTTACAACTTATGGTTCAGTTCGGGGTGACATACTCTATTACTTACAGTAGCAGATTATCTAGTTTGATTTGTGCCTCTTTCTCCTCGTCACCTGATCCCACCTCTGGAATTTAATTTCCCAGATTCGTATTTCATGTACTTTTCATAGATGTTTATATATATTTTTTTTCAGATTTATCACTATTGTTTATATATATATTTTTTTATTTCTCGTTTTCAGACAATCTTTTATATAAATCATTCATCTTAAAACATTGCTGTGACGTCATGCCTTTGTTCTTGCAGTCTAAAAATTTACCTGTAGCCGTCCGATAATAATAATTACCAGTCTGATAATATAATATCGGACGGCAATGATAACAAAATCGGACGGTATTTAAAAAACAAAAAGAAGAGTGAAATAAAGGTCAAATATGTCCAGAAACCCCCAATAAAAATGCTAGGAAACAAATTCAGGGAAAGCAAATGCAAGGAAATTAAATTGCTACAAAATAGCAAATCCATGAAAAAAAAGAAGTTTAAACCTTCCACAAAATTAATGCTTTCCACTCTTTAAAAGAATTTTTGATGCAGCACTTTGAATAAGCGAATTTAAATCCATTTCTGCAAAAGAGTCTGAAAAACTCCTTATTTTATGTTTGTTCCCCGATGGCCACACTTTTAAAACCTGAGAATATTTCCATTATCTAAACTAAAACTTCAGGGTAAAAATCCGCTTTTTTACTTTCCATGGTGATGGTTATAATATCACCCAAAATTATGTTGGTATCAATGTCAATTTATGCACATCATAAATAAAATTGTTCCCCCAAATATTTTTCACCACCGGACCCCTGTCCTGCTAAACTAAACAACTGCCATTGAATGAATGAAACGAAACAAGAGTTCACTCACTTTTTTTATTGTCTCATTTCTTTTATCTACTTATCAGATGGGTAGAAAACAATGGATGCCTAAACTCCCATTGTGTTATTATCGGACTACTCCAGGTAACTTTTGGACATTTAAATGGCAATGTTTTAAGTAAGATATATGCCTCATACTATTCTATATGTAAAATTATCAGACAGTTTTCGGCCCTAACGGGCCTCAAACAGTCTGATAATTTTACATATAGAACAGTATTCGGCATATATCCATTACATACATGTATATGATTGGTTTCTTTAAGGTGCAAAGGTTTTTGTTAAGGCATATTATTTATGTCTATTTAGCACTTGTAATTTATAAACATTTCGTTTTCCCTTGATAATTTCCTTTTAAATATTCTTAATAATTATCAGCTAATTTTTCGCAACAAGGAACTGTGGAGCCAGTCTTACATTGTACATTTATCTAGATTTATCAGTGATTTAAGTTTATTTTTATGTATAGATAAAGAAAATACCTCAATATTTATTTGCATAAATTTCTTAATATACTCTCTCCGTTAAAATTGTAATACAAGTCATCTAGATCGTTTCCTATTTTGAACTTAAAAAAATCTTTACAGTCTTTTAGTCGGTTACAAAAATGGATGTTGAGTAATAAACAAAAGAAAAACATCTTCGATGAACTTCGGATTCGGGAAAAAAGCAATTTAATTTCTTATCATTTATGAAATACAATATGAAATACCTAAGTAAAATTCAACATATTTAAAAGCAGTCATTACGATTTTTAATAAGTCAAGTGAATAGATAAATACTGCTAAAATTTTTGTAAGTCATTCAGCGCATAAAATTGTAAAATTGATATCAGATTGAATTATTAAAGCAACAAATATATATCTTGCATTGAATTTGATATTAATATTACAATTTGTGCACTCAATGTTCCTCAAAAATGTGAGAGCAGCATTTATTTATTGCCGACATTGATATGTTCGTAACGTAGATTTGGTTTGGTTTTTGAACATACTCTGAGAGTCGGACAAAAGCACGGGCGCTTGTTTTTGTAAAAAATAATCAACGCATATGTAGTAGTATAATATCACAAGGTACATGTACCCTACACCGAATAACACGGAATTACCCCTCAACAGAATCACACTTATTTACAATTTCAGGGGAAGCGCTCTAACAAACTTTCTACTTTTGGTGGAAAAAATTATTACAGAATACTGTGGGTTGAAAAAAATATACAAAATAGCAAATAATGGACAAATCACACTCAGTAAAGGTTTACAGGTGAAAACAAATTTCAGAATATGTATATATATAAACTTAAGAAATATATATCAAACCATGTGAATTTTATTGGGAAAAGCAACATGGTAAAAAATCAGCCTATGTGATTTTTAAGATTTTTCGTCATTTTGTTTTTCCTCATAAAATTCACCTGGC